AAACCATTTCAGGTGACTACCTCTTGAAGCTCATGGAGAGAATGCCAAGAGTGTGCAAAGCAGTAATCAGAGCAAAGGGTGGCTATTTTGAAGAAACTAGAATATAAAACATGTTTTCAGTTATTTCACCTTTTTTTGTTAAGTACATAACTCCACATGTGTTCATTCATAGTTTTGATGCCTTCAGTGAGAATCTACAATGTAAATAGTCATGAAAATAAAGAAAACGCATTGAATGAGAAGGTGTGTCCAAATTTTTGGCCTGTACTGTATATTGCACTGAATCTTCCTCTAATCACATAGGCTGAGTAAACACAAGCTCTGCAATCAAATCATGAACCACACTGTACATTCGACACCAAATCTGTGCCTTCCTCGTGATTCCCAATCATTTGCTACAGAGTATTAAGCTTCTCCAAATCTTGTGGTGAGCTTTAATGAAGACACATTTACACGACAACCTTGTACAACTCATCACCACACACATTTTTAGAAAGTTATTTGGTCCAGTGCACACCAGTTATTTTTACACATATTATTCCACATTACATGCACATACACACATCCTTCTGGCCCATCTGCGAAACTAGATAACACTTTAGCCCACAGTGCTCAACATCCTGCAGCCACCAACCACAAGTGGAAGAGTTTCTACCACTTGAGCAGTTTAAGTTGCTTTTGGTGGCTGGTGACAGTAATATTTCTGACATATCTGCCAAAAATTGAACTACACGACCCTGGTGTTCTCTATTTTGGTTGCTGAGCTCCCGACAACAACAAATCTAACTCTACTATTACTCATACAGTGGTTTGATAGCACCTGATAAGGTTATAGAAGTCCATTTAGTGTATTATTTCAATACGTGACTATATTGTACAGCAGTTAGTTATGAAGCCCTGAGGTCAGCCATTTAAATTCTTTAGGACATCCACGGTTAATGACTGAGATTATTAAATATCTTAACTCACTCTTATGACAACTGTCTCTTGCCGGATATAAACACAGACAGACTGTACAGGGATGGCACACACAGCACGCCACTTACATCTTATACTGTACTACTACTGCATTCACAAGACGATTGACAGTGAGGGTGATTTATTTAATGGCATGTTTTTGCAAGTTTTTATAATTTAGGGAATCATCGTGTGTCTCGCAAAGCTGGATGAAAGACAAATGTTTCCGTCGCAGCAGTTGCACGGTAGCTCGCTCCTTCCCCATCTGGCTTTGTTTACTCCCATTTGCACATCTGACATAAACAAATGAGCATAAATGAAAGATATCAGACGTCTCTGCTACTTGTAAGAGGAGAGGAGAGGAGAGGAAAACTGTAGTAAGACGCAGTGACATCTTTCTTCTGCTTTTCATATTGGTTATAATTTGTTTTAAGGCTTTAATTTGGTGATGGGATGTTCTGACTTTAGTGGGGCTCACCCATCTTCCTCTAAGATGTAAACTAGGTTCCTACATAGTAGTTTACCCATGTAAACAAACACATCCATCACTTGGATCTGCTGTCATTCTTTCTACTATCATGTTTTTTTCTACAGGTAAAATTACCCAAAATACAAAGCAGTTCTATTTGGACCAGGTTTGTTTAAACCCCTAATAAAGGATGCAGTGTTGACTCCATTTGTGTTAAAATGAAATGAAATATTACTTGAACTATTACAGCAATGGGACAAGGGCGCAGGGCTGCATAAAACACTTCCAGCTACTATAACTCTGCTGTGGAGGTGATAGATTTATTTCTCCACTTTCTATTATTCACAGCATGCAGGACAGGATTTTCATCTTTAAAATCTAATCTGTTCTAATCTTCTACAGCAACTCCATCCCAGGACATCAACAACACCAAACCACTATAGTGAGAGGGGAAAAACGAGTGGAAAAGGCACTATAGAAATATCTGATTCATGGCGGATCAATAGAGCCAGCTGGACCGAATAATCACGTCAGAGATCAACCTGAGAATTTAAAATGAAGCTGTGGTTTTGATCTCTGTGGGGTAAAACGAGCTGAACTCAATGAACAAAAGCATCACAGGGGAGGATCCTCGGCCCCATTCGTCTGATAGATGATAAAAAGGGAGACGATGTGAAGCCGCTCAGCTCTCCGTCTGCAGCTGGGGTGATAACAGTATTACCGCATGGGCAGAAAAACTTCAAATACTACCACTTTTTTCTCCCTCTAACACTGATGTATAATTTGTTGCCAGCTAACCGTGGCCTTACAGAGTCCCTGGCGTGTAATTTCTTTTTGTTTGTGGTCTGAGCCAAGCAATAGAAGCACTACAGACAACCTCTGCAGATGTCACACACATCCCTGGCGATCTACTTCAGTCCACCATCAGCTGCAGATTGAGTGGTAATTTACAGATGCAGCTCAGTTTGATACACGTGTGACCACAGTTTTTCACCAGTCACCATTGTGTGACACAGTCCAGGTGTAATTTTGCTATTCTCAAGGTGCCTTATCTATTTCTGCTTCAGTTAGTGATGACTGCATCCCTGCCCCTTACTCAGACCACAACATGCCCTGCAGGTAGACATGCATGCATCAAGGACTTCTGAGTTTTGTCTCAGTGGAGAAATTGGCCCTTCTGCCCTTTATATGAAAAAAAAATAAAAAATCTCCCCGTATGAGACCGAAATGTTGTAAATTGGTGGAATGAAATGGATGTTTTTTTTTCAGTTCAGGGACTGTTGCAAACACTTTTTTTCCCCCAAAATTATGATTATTATTATAGGAACCTAAAATGATTTTTGCAGCAAATATCACTGCACTGGAAATATGTTGGTGCAACATCATGTTTAGTCCATTATTAAAGTAGAAATAAGTTTTTTGCTATTATCATTACAAAGTAAATGCTAATTACACAGTGTAATGGCTGTAGAATAATGCAGGCTCTTCTCATTCACTGTTCTTACTTAAACCTACGAAAAGTGATGCACTATAATTTGTATATAACCTACGTAATCGTGAGCCAGGAGGCTGAGATCATGTGACCTCTACACTGCAGGCTGACATCCCTACATGGTGGAAGCAAAGGAAGAAGTCAGGTAACGAAGTGTAAAGAGAGTTTAAGTCCACATAGCAAGGAGGTAGGGGTGGACGGATGGGTCAAATAAACACAGGACTTTGACTCAAGAGACTACTGGTTGTGTCCCGATACATACATGATGTCACATCATCATGTGATACCCATCCACGATTCTCTTCCTAAACCTAACATAACTTGTAGGGGGCGCTAATTTGTTAAGATATCATACTAACTGTTGTATCAGCATTTACATTTGTTCCCTGTAAGCCTCACTTTCACTATGCAAGTCTGTCTGCCACCGGGTACAATCTCCCAAGAAACTGAGGGCTTGATATACGGCACAAAGGAAGTGCGTCAATCATTGTGCAATCAAAACAGGAAGAGGTTAGCGCTTCTGTTTTCTCGGGTAGCTATCAGTAGTTGTCCCGTTACTTAAGAGTAGCAATGTAAGTTCTTTGCAGTTACTATCCACAGTAGCAGAAATGGGTAACGATGGAACAACCCGAGTAACTGCAGAAGGTGTTAGCTGCGAGGCTCTTAGACACCATCTTAAAATGATGTGTTTTCTGACCTGCAGTGGGCGAACAGTTCACCTCTCTGAAGTGATGTAGAAGTGCACTTCGGGGTGTGTCAGTGCACTGTGACATCACTGGTGGGTGTGTTTACAGGTGCAACAGAGCGGGCTCAAGTCCAAAATTTGTGAAATTAGTCATTTTGCGGGAGCTGTGACACTCAAAACGTATCCACCGATTTACAGACATCTCTTTTCCAATGTAAGTGTATGGGAAAAGTCTTTTGGGACCAAGTGGCATCTGGTGACAGCCTGGAAGTCGCAATGCCACTTTTTGGCCACTAAGAAAACTGGCCTCAAAGCCCTGTGCACTTCCTGGCGGTCTGAGTTAAACAAGTGAGATGGGTTCCTAAAATGGCTACAGCTGTACTTCTTTTCCATAATACGACCCAGTCACTTTCAAACTAAACCTGTGAGTTATTTATCAAACATTGTATTAAAATCACCAGTTGACAACTACATAACATGACAAGGGGTGCCTGCTATGACTAACAGTAGGACTGCAAAATATATTGTTTTATTGTTTATATTTTCTTTTGCTCCATAGACACATTGCAAAAAGACTGTGATATTGCACCAAGGGATCTTTTTGAGTCAGCTGAAAGTGAGTATATCATAAGGAAACTGCACTTTAAAATGTAACTATCATTGGTGTCTTACTGGCGTCTTTTGAGTTGAGTTCAACGTTCAATTTGTTCAATAAAATAATGTTGGAAATAATTTAATTTTGTTTGTTTTTAAGATATTTTTTTCAGGATTTTGCCTTTATTAGACAGGACAGAGCCAGAGTGAAAGGGGGAGACAGAGGGGGGACGACATGCAGCAAAGGACCGCGGATTGGAATTGAACTTGAACGTATAAAGCCTTTGTATGCGGGGCAACTGCTCTACTAGGTGAGCTAGTAAGTGCTTTGTGTTTTAACAGTTCACTGAAAGCAGTAGAAAACTGAGTACACTTTAATATCTGTTAATTTATCACACGTAATATCGCTACCGTGATATTCAACAACGATTTCCTCATATGGTGCAGCCCTAATAAACAGTGCGAGGTGAACAGTGATTAGACACATGACAACAAGAGCCATGATGACAACAACGATGCTTTGGATTAGTGAAAAAGTTAAAAAAAATCACAATCTTGAGTCTTAGTGACAGAGTGGTTATGGACATACACTCAGTACAGTAATTTGTAAACAAAATATACACATACATACTTCACCTTGTTCTCTAAATCTACAGTGGAAATCTTTTCTGTTTTGGTTATTGTCATTAATTGTCTTTTTTTCATTGGCGTTTTTTCATATAATTCATTTCATTAATCTACGCATATTTACAGAACTTATCTACTCATATTTCCCATAGCAGTGTATACTATCATTGGGTTCAAAACTAAAAGGATTATCTAGTAAACATGTTGCTACCTTTACAACTTTCCTCAAAGTGCAAAGACCGTGATGGGAGAAAGTGCATGAGCCCTGCCAGCGAAAATCCCTCCACAACTCTGCTCTGCCAGCGTAAACACCGTCATCTCACTGCAATACGTATTCACACATCGAACCATAATGATCGAGCAAGCACACATCAAAACCTTTCACTTAAAGTCTTCATTACGTGATTCCAGCGTGACAATAACATGTCGACTGCATAACATGTTAAGCAAAGCAAAGTGGACTGTAGAGTCCTTGTTAAAGCTACACACAGCAGTGTGTGTAGTCATATGATGTGGAGACTGTAAGTGCATTTTAATCAGATAAACACTTTCATTGGCTGGGCAGGAGGTGGCAGGTCTAAAGCTGTTGCTTGGCAAGAAATGTGCCGCTGCAACAATACAACCAAATGTATCCATGCCTCCATGTCAGAGAAGGTATTAGAGAATTTTTTAAAGACATATATAACAGCGAGAACACCCACAGGTACTATTAGCTGCAAATGTTCTCATAAATATTTAGTGTAGCTGTGGTTTTTTAGATCGTCAAATCATGTCATCGCTAAGTGATGTCAGCTCTGGAGATCCTGATGAGATTTGGGCACCAATTTTATCAACATCAAGATTTGTTGCAACATTTTGGATTTCTGGGACATCTTCTCATCTAATCAGCCACCAGCAATTCAGTTCCTGTTCCTAAATCTTGCCAAGCAATATTATTCAAGCCCCCTGCCCACTCGCCAAGATTGTACTCGTTGCTTAGCAACACTGTCTTACTTAACATCCAATCAAGGAGATTTTGAACTTGTTGTGCCCTGCAAAGCACAGTTAACTACATGAGTAATAAGTCGGGACCAATGAGATAAGTTTATCCGCCTTTGGAAGTGTTGGTGCGAACGTAGGCTGCAGATCTGATGGCATTTATTGTCTTTTTAAGACCCTGAAAATCTATTTTTTACATCCGCCTCTTACTATGAGCGATGTAAATCTGCATGAGCACATTTTCTGCCAAATTGGAACCATTTAGATTATTTATTATGGGAAATGTATGTATTTGTGTCTTTGTCTGTGCTCTGCTCACTGCTCACCAATCAGGATTGAGCATTGTTTAAGTTAGGATTAAATAGACAGTGGGGTTGTTGTTTTATGTTGTCAATCAAATCTGATCAAACCTCACCCACACAGTCCTGATGAAGGCAATCAGCTGAGTTTTTAAGTGCTAAATTCTTAATAAATAAAACCTAATGCTTTCCCCACCCAAACTTTGACTAAAAATGTCCTCATTAGCCATAAATATTCATGTTTTAGAGAAATAAGGCTTGGACGGTATCTTTTTTTCACAAGTTCATACCCTACTGAAATTTTATGGGAGTCTACAGTATTGAACGGTATTTGTGTAAACAGTCTGTATGTGATTCCACTCAGCAGACCTGAATTGTATTTACCATGGATAAACACTGGGTGGCGCTGTATTGATATTTCAAGTCTTACGGTATAAAGGTAAGAACAACATTGTTGCCGTCAGGTGTTTCACCGCGGAGAGGAAAAGGTTATTGACCACTGTGGTGCGGGAAAGTGTAATGTGCTCTAAAAGTTGTGTATTCGGCTTAGATTAAAGAGAAAGAAACTGACATTTATTCAACCTGTGTTTGGTGGTATGAATAAATACAACGATTTTTTGGCAACTGGAACCTGCAGTTTATTGTCTGAATTTCAACACAGCCAAGGACGCTGTGGCATCAACCGTGTAAGGCGTGTCAGCCAGGTCATGCCGGGTGAAACAAGTAATAGGCTTAGCTCTACACAGTCACTATAGCCCCCTTAGCCTAGAGTTTCAGCTGGGAGATGTGTTAGAGCGTCGAGTTTGCTACTTTCAACAAGCTCAAGTGAAATATTTTTGTATCTGTTTTCCTTACTACACAGAAATCATTGTTGGCTGACTGTTTACAGTCCTGCAACATTATCCCCACCACTTGCAGTCGCCATCTTTCTCAGCTCAGCTGCCTGTTCCACCAGTAGAGACTGACCTCTGGTGGTGTGTGCTGTGCACTACATCACCGTGATACAGCATCTCTGTATGAGTTTAATAGAAACAGCAGCGTCTGTATCATACCATCGGCATTTTGAAATATCATGATATACCATAATACCTTGATACCACCCAAGCCTAAGAGAAATACAATAAATAAATAAATAAATAAACATAAAAATAAAAATCCCAAAGCAAGTCTCCTTTTAGTATTTTCTGGGCTCTTTTAGAAGTGAGAAGCTTTAAATTGATGGCACACTGCTGTGTGTGGCTTTACATCACCTGACAGTCTTCCTCTAGCAAGTACACAGTATGCAGCAACACGACACATCTGGGTCACAATAGCCGTACGTACCTCAGGCTCAGCGTCACACACACAAATGGCAGTTCCACTTGCTAAATACATACACACTCACAAAAAAAAAAAAGTTTCAAAAACCCACCTGGAGCAGAAATCATTTTCACACCGAACAAGAGAACATCACGATCCAGTTTCTTTATGCATGCAGCGTGTGGACACATCATTGTCCTGTTTACTAAGCTTTTGTTACAGGGTCACAGGTGTTTTTGCAGAGTGTAAATATCGAGCTACATGTAGCCTTTTGCGCCTGACGAGCACACGTTTGGACACTCACACGGGAGATTCAGGCTCATATCGAGAACTTCGCTCTTTGACAAGAGTTAAGACTTGACATCATTTAAGGGTGAATTCATCCCGGTTTCATTGTTTCCGCCTGCATCTCTGCTTGTGAAATAGCTCCTGCTGACAAATCCTTAGTAAATCTGTGTGGTTAAAAGTTGCAGTTGAGGCATGTGAACTGTCCCATGGCTCATGATTCTCTATTGTGTAGTGTGCAGTCGTGTGTTAATGACTATTTACAGTACCACAGAAAACAACTAGAGGAAGAGAGACATCGGCTTGGCACTGCTTCAGTATTATCACATCGACACAGACTGCAGAGTCTGTACAACCGTAATCAAGTGTAAGTGTGGGTGTGGGGCTTGTGTTTGTGTTTGTGTGTGTTTTTGTTGTGCGCTCCTGCTGTCCTCATCCTCCTCCTCCTCCTCACTGTGTGGGGGAGCAGTCGTCTAAATCCAGCAGCTCTCTGACCAGTCTTTCTCCAAACTGCGCTCGGCTGTAGCGTTTGACTGTGTAGGCGTCAGACATCTTGTAGAGGATGTACGCATTGTTGATGGCGATGCTGATGCTCAACCAGAACACCTGCTGCCAGGTCTTGTTGGGTTTATGGAAGATGAAGTACCTGTGGGAGAAACATTTATTTACTCCAGGGTTTCTACTCAAAGATCCTCTATTAAATGAATGAGTAATATTAACACACTACTATAAATAATATGCTCTAACAGCCATGCTGGAAACAAGTTTCAAAAACAAGTGCATGGCCATAGATTGGGGAAAAGAAGTGGACGTAGCCGCTGTGATGTCACCCATTGGTGTCCTCAAGTTTGGCAGTTTGACTGTCACCACCTTGAATTTTCAATCCTCCTCCTCATCCTCCAAGCCATACTACTACACAAGTCCTTTGATACCTCCTACCTCTGAGTACGACCCACACGAGTATTTCCTAAATTAGCCCACCTACTGCTGGCTTGTATGCGACTGTCAATGGTCACAGTTTTAAACACATGGGTAACGCTATGAAACGGTTGCAGTTGCATCCACACTACTTGTATGAAAAAACAACATGTTCGGCTTGAGATAAGAACGATTAAGACTAAGGTAATGTAACACATCTCACACAGGATACATTAATATGCTATGGGTCATTCTTAAAAACAGCATTTCTCAGTAGCGTGGTGGTAACGTTACTACTTTCTGAGTCAAATAGCTTCTCAGTTGTGAAGTTAATCCATTGTAGCATGGTAGCGTCCACAAAAGTTACAAGCTATTTTTCCGAGGAAAAGCTCTGAAGTGCAGTGGACTTTTTTTTCTACGTAGGTTTGGATAAAAGTAAGGATAATAAAATTGAGGATAAGTAATGCGACTAACGCAGGGCCACACTGAGGCATACACTTCCACATGACACATACTAATCCCTCAGTTTATTCTGCTCGCTGCTTTCACTATTGGCTACTCTGCAGCTGATGGGCTACGTTGCACTTCTTATTTTCTCATAGTTCTTTATGCAACTTTCTTTTGGAGTCACGCCCTGCTGGACATTAAAAGAATGCAGGTTTAAGGCACTTCTGCATTGGCCTCATTTTTCAGACCCCGCGATAACCTTTTGACAAAGGCACACACAGTCTTGCCAGTCAGTTACAAGCAGGAACAAGCAGGAAGAAAACCTTTTGATGCTTTAATTGTGTAATAAAACAGTATGTAAGGATGTATCTGTCGCTGTAAGGGCAGAATATGTCATGTTACATAAAAAATAGGACCGGTTCAGGCAGGAAAACAGTTTAAAGATTACACGGTAATTGTATCATCTTGAATCAACTTGCAGCGTTGCACATACTTGCTGTACTTGTCGTCGTATTTGCAGATGTAGCTGAGATGCGCCGCAAAGGCCTCGACAGCCAAGGGGCATGGGATCTCCCCACTTTTCCTCTTAATGATGATTCCTGCCACAAACACACAAACCACAGAATGAGAGTGAGAGACACAAGGCCGAGATCCCACTGAAGGGACTCCAGATTCTTCAGATTATGCAATCACCTGGCCAACAACCAGACAAGGGAGAGGAAAAAGAAGTGCTCCTTTACATGAGGGAGGCTTTCCAGGTGTGCTTTGTTACTATTTATGTTTTTAGCCGGTCTCCCTACAGGGCTGCTTTGTTTAATGGCACCTTTACACAGATAGACACTCGCATGTGTTTCTGGCTACTCTGAACCACAGTCGTCTGCACAGCTGAAGATTTGTTACATCAACTGAGCGGCAGACAGATGACAGCTTGACAGCTTGACAGCTCGTTGACAGCTGACAGAAGCCACAAAAATAATCATTAAGATAAATACTAAAAACAAAAGGACACAATTATGAAAATAACAATGACAGAGAAATGCATATGTAATTTTACTGTCATGAACAATCACTGCTTGTCAGTATGCAGTCATAACTTGAATGTTAAAATTACATACATCGCAAAGTAACAACAACAGAGCGTTACGGGTTGAGCACCTTCTCTGGCTCAGCCAATGGCTGCTTGTCATTGTATCTCACAGGTAACATTAAGTGATAACATCAAGATTCCAAATCTCATTTTTATTTTTAATTTCATGCTACAGACTGGAACAGATATATGAGTAGGAGGGTCAAATTTAAAGGTGCAATGTTATGATGAAGTAGTATGTCCCAATGCATACTCCACGCAACCGTAAGCACTTTGTAATGGCAAAGAAAGAATTTGCCTTGAGCAAAAGAAAAATAATGCAGACTTCTCCAAGCAGAAAATGCACAGGTGCAACTAATAACATTAATAATACTTTCCATTTAAGTCCCATTAAGCCATGACAGTGAGCCACGCATGCACAATACCTTTTAATAGGTACATAGCAGGTAAATGGAAATGCAGCTATTATTATTATTAGCAGTTACACATGTAGCTAATAGCATTTCTTACATTACTGGTTGAACGCTCGCGTCACTTTCTGTACTGTCACTGGTTTTTGCTTTAGATTCTTTACCAAGAAAAACACCTCAGCTTCTCTGGGAATGTCAAACATCTGGCAAAATCACTTCCTGAGCAGATTTGAGGCAACAAATACACAAGAGAGCTGCAGAATTATGCCTATAGATATACCATGCAGGATATTCCTTGTAATCCTTCTAAATCATCATTTACAACCCACTAGAGGAGTGTGGTGGCGTGTTTTTCTGCAGAGGCTCTGCCCTCTGCCTGTATGTTCTTATTTTCTTCTTATTTTCTGCTCTCAGGATGTTTATGGCCATGTACCCCAAAGTGCTCTCACGAGGTCGGGGCTTTATCAAAAGGTAGCGACCACGTGCCAGACTGTAAGAAGCACGCATCTAAGACAGAAAGCTCCGAAAAAAAAACAAAAAAACCCTGTGACTATAGCGAGGCAAAACGCCAAACGAGAGTGAATCTGGGTTTGGCTTTTAATGTCACTTCCACAATCCTGCATATACCTTTAAATTTGTATCTACAACACCTAGTTAAAATAGCTGTGAACTAAATCCAGACTTCTGTTAATCATACAAATGCTTTCTGATTGGTCTGTATGTATCTGACACGGCTCAACAGGATGTTGTCAGACTTGAAACCAAGCTTTCAAGATGAAGTCTTTGTGAATGTTGATTAAAGGTATGGATTTTATTAATAGCAATATTTGATGGATAATGTACGTAGGAGATAAATATAAATTTAAACATCTCCATAATGGTGCTGTTATACCCTGATGTTTTAGATCACATTCCTTATTTACCATCATGCAGACCTTTTTAAGTTACCACTGAGTAAATCATGTAATATTACCTGTGTAACAATCGCTAATCTTAATATGGTTTAATCATATGTGTTATAATGAGAACAAAATGTTGTCAGCAACTTGTTTTCTTCTCCTTTTTGCACAGAGTGAAAAACAGTTGCACACACACACACACCCACGCACACACTCACAGAGGAAAGAGAAAATCAATATTGGATAATAACAGTTAAACTGATCTGGGGCTTCTGCTCCCACACTCTTCATTCAAAGAGCTCCAACACACCGCAGCCCTTCAACTCGGTTTAAAACCTAACAAAACTGTTTCAATGAGAGTGGATTACTCCGTAAGAGGAGGGGAATATCATGATCCTGTCGCCTCCTGGAAACGGATTATCGCGGATTAGAAGCTCTCATTGATTTTTTTCAGACAGGAATGCCTAACGAAGTGCCAAATTCACCTGATGGTAACTTGCATACAAAATGACAGAAGAGCTAGTCTTATTTTCTCTCAAAAACCCCACAGATCAAAGGCGCGACTTTTCGAATTTTATGGCACATTTGTGGTTTGTTGCAACTATAAATATGTGCATTTCTTTTGCACTGATGCATATTGCATGTAGTGTCTCCTGTCAGTGCTAAAATTCTTAAAATATTTATAATTCAATGACAGGAATCTACTTTCACAGTTTTAGTTCTGGGTACATCAGAGCAGTGTTTACCTTGCTTTGTTGGGGAATAAGCGTTAGTGAGGAACCTGAAGTGTCCCTTGTTGTACCAGCTGATCAGGGACATGCTGCCTTTCATCATAACTCGGGATTGGCCACGCTGCGCTGGCGTGGAGCCGCAAACCAGCATGCTTTGTGGTAAGCCTGTACAGTCACTCTTTCTGGTGCTCAGCAGACCGCAGCAGTAGATATCTGGAGAGGGAAAAATACAATTTTATAAATAACTCTGCAACTGAGAGAAGTTCTAACAGTATATACACAGATATATTGCACAGGCACATTTACTATGGATCAAATACCAAGTGGTAGTAGGGTGGCAATGGTATCAGTGGCAAAAATCCCAGAAAATATCATGGTTTCATGGTATATCCATTATTGTTCTCACTGTGCATGCTGCCACTTGGTGACATCATCAGAGAACACAATGTCTGTTTCCATAGTTACGCGGATGACACGCAACTGTACATCTCTGCTGAACCAAATGATGCTGCAGCCATAGACTCCATTCCTACCTGTCTTTTGGCAATTAATAAATGGATGAGCAATAATTTCTTAAAGTTAAATGGAGACGAAACTGAATTGCTGCTTGTTGGCCCTAAAACAAAAAGAGAAATGTTGCTTAATAATCTGGGGAAATTAACCCTCTGGATTAAATCCAGGGTTACAAGTCTTGGTGTGATCCTTGATTCAGATCTAAGCTTCAAGTCCCACATTAACAAGGTGACGAAAACATAATTTTTCCACCTCAGAAACAAAGCCATGGTTCGACCATTTCTTAATGAAAAAGATGCAGAGAAATATATTCATGCCTTTATTTCAAGCCAAATTGACTACTGTAATGCACTTTTTACTGGCTGCCCAAAAAACACCACTGAGAGACTTCAGCTGATTCAAAACTCTGCAGCTTGGCTATTAACCAGAACCACAGGAAGGTCCTCCTCTTTGTATACAAACCGTAAATAAGCTTGGACCAAGCTACATTGCTAACTCCCTTGTTAACTATTTTCCTCCAAGAACACTGGGATCATCTGCTGCTGGTTTATTGGAGGATCCAAGCAACAGCTGGAAGAAGATCGGGTATACAGCCTTTGTCAATTACGCCCCAAAGCTATGGAACACACTACCTGTAGATACTAGGGAAGCTAGCTCTCTAAATATTTTTTAAAATAAAGCTAAAACTGTATCTGTTCACTTTTGCCTTTAACTAGCTCTGACTTTCCTGATACAGGTCTGAAACTCTTTGTTTTTACACTTCATGCTGCTGCAACTCTTTTAAAATCTAGCTTGATTTCACGATTTATAGTTTTAGAACTCTATGATTTTATGAATCAGTTAATTCATGTTTTAAACTGTTTTAAATGTCCATTTATGTTAAATTGCCTTGTCTGGTTAATGTCCATTCTGTCTATTTTCATATGAAGCACTCGGTGCTTTTACTTGCCTTATTGTAAAGCACTTTGTGCTGCATTTCTTGTATGAAAGGTGCTATATAAAAAAAGTTTAAAGTTTTTGATGGGAGGTCTGACATGTCTCCAGAGTCGTCTTGGCCTCCTTCTGTTTACGGAGAGTTTTTCTCATCTGGCTCAATGCCAGATCAATGGCCCAACCTCTAGCTCGCTCATATGCCAGATCATTCTCCATCAATTCTGTTCTTGAGAGAACCTCAGATTCTGCTGAATCCATGTCATGTCGTCGCACCATCTGGTAAAGTGTGGTGGGCTTTGCAGCGTTTTCAACTGTTGAACAGTACTGCTTTACGGCATTGTGCTCCCACCTAATCAAATAGAGTTCTTTTTGAAGGGTCTTTTTCTCACCCTTTGTCTGCTCAAGTTTGACGAGTAGACTGTTGTTGGTGGAGGTTAGCTCCTCATGCTCTTGAGCCAATTCCAATTCTTCTTGTGTGTCCTTGAGCGTTATACAGGTCTTCTCCAGCTGCAGTTTCAGAAATGTTATTTCTTTCTGATCTGCAGCCATCTTGCTCTTCACCTGTCTGAGCTCCAACTGCTGTTGTTCAAGTTCTTTATGAAGGGCCTCCTTGCTCCCTTCACCTGCTCCAACTCAGCGCGCAGGTCCTTATTGATGGAAGTCTGCACCTCAAGATTTTTTTGAGTCTGTTTGAAGATTGCGCAATTCTTCCCCTTGGGCAATTTCTGCAACTTCTTATTGCTGGTTGGAGAGTCCATCTGGACTTGTCCATAGTTGGACTTGATGTTCTCCCGCTGCTCTTGGAGCTTGACCAGGAAATCGTCCAGCAGGTCCTCTCAGACGTCCGGGAGTACGCTCCCCTCTGTTGTACTTGGGGTGAGCCTGGCCCCACTGTCATTCAGTTCATGCTGCCACTGTTCCTCTAGTGAACTGAGATAAAAATTAATTTGAGGTTCTTTTTGTCTAGAATTGAATATTATGAATTCCGTCCCTCTGTGTTATTTCTCGTTTGTCTTGGATGTGAGATCGAGCTCGATTTTGATCGGCTACTATCACGGTGAGATGCTCTGAACCAAACTCTGAGCATCTGATCTGATCTGAACAGCTCCTACTTCAATATTTTTGACCCTCTGAACGTGATGTCATTGTGACAAGAGAGTTCACAGAAGATTCAAATATTACATATTACATATTAAGCACACAGGTGTCACATATGCATGTTCGATGTTATACTGATGTAGTCCATTCTTTTGATTACTATACAATCACTGCTCTGCAATTATTTTGGTTTTCATTTAACTGTTTTAGTTATCTTTAAATCAAAAATGCCAAAAACAATCACTGGTTTCAGCATCTCAAATGTATCTGTTGATTTTCTTCATATTATGTGACTGCTGTAGACTGTTTATTGTCCTCGCAGCTGAACCACTTTCACTTTTTCTGTCTTTCCACCCATTCCATTTCTTTATTTCTTACATGGATGAGCAGCGACCAAACAATCATGTGGCTGAGCGCTGCTGATTTGTTCTCAGTTTGGAGAATGATGTCTATCTGTGTAGTACAGTACACGTGTGTGTGTGTGTGTGTGTGTGTGTGTGTGTGTGTGTGTGTCCACAGTAAGTGCTGCAGAGGTAATTATCTCTGCTAATTAATCCAGTGTGATAAAGTTGATAGAAAAATGTCGGACAATGCCTTCAGTTTTTTATTTTTTTTCCAGCTGAGCCTTGTGGTAGCTTTGCCCAATTAGGATGACAAAATATTGATTTTATCTCTGGACATGTTTTTCTTGACTTGACGTTCTGCAGCTCGGCCCAGCTGAGTTTAAAATTGCAGTATTTTGATAACAGGGGTGTAAAAACTTTTCACTTTAAGTCATGGTGATGATAACGTCAAAGGAACCTGATGTGTTGTGCTGAATGTTGGCTCTCTGCCGTCACTGATTTGCTCATTCTCAGCCTTTTATGTCACGATGACATTGTCCCATATTTTGCTATTATTACGAAAGAAGAAAACAGGTCAGTGAAGAGAATTCAAAAGTGACTCACCATAACCACAACAGGATTATGCTTTCATGATAAAATATGCCTTTGGTATAATGAGCATGAAAATCAGAGCTCTGTGGAAACCTGCTTCAAAGACGGATTATCAGCATAAAATATCACAATTTCCTCCAAAACTATTTCCTGCAGATTGCCTCCTGATAAAATATCTCACACTGAGAATATAAGCTACCAACAGTCATACAAAAAAAAAAAAAACCTGCTGGATTCAGAAGGTGTAGTTGTCAGGTGTTGCAGTAAGTGGTGTGTCTTTAAAGTATCCACTTTACCTATTGATTTTTTGAGCTGTGACAAGGCTAAACACTCCCCGCTGAATCTTCCATGATGCATTGTGCACGTCAAAAGACAATTAACAGACTGTTGAAGCGCATCCTGGGACTGCTGGTCGATGTTGGTTGAACAGCAAAAAACCATCAATCTCAACGAGTCACTTAGTGGGAGATTTAGTTGTCAAAGTTTAGTGATGTAATTCCACTAGTGCAATTTGTCTTTGTTTCAGGAGTTTGCAGCCATGAATGTGAATATTTGGAATCCTGACAGATACTATTACACAGTAATTCATATCAGGAAGAGATGTTACACCAGTCGCATATTCGTTTGACTTGTTTTTAGGAATTTTGCATTGACAAAATCTCAAAATCAAGCTTTTTTATCTTGTTTTGGAAAACTTTTAATTCCCTAGCTGACAGATAAATACAACAGTCTGTAGGCCCATGTTTTCACTGACGTAAGACAGAGGCATGCTCGTGCTTTCACACATCCCCCATGTGGTTAAAGATTTTTCACTCGGGGTGTAAGGACGGACAGATGAAGAAAAGAAAATGAATCATTCTAGCGGCATACTCTGGTGCTGATATTTGAAGGTGAAACGTAACAGACTGTTCCTCCCTGTGCTGTTTGGCCTGGGGACGCCATCGTCACAACATGACTAAAAGCAAATAAACAAATAAAAAATGCAAAAAGGGAGGGAGATGAGGAGAGAGACTACACCAAAGCAGAGAAGGGAGAGGACGAGAGGTGACAGAGGAGGATGAAGAAAAGGTGTTTTATTTACGCAGCATGACCGAGACAGACCGACAAATATCTGCTGCTGCAGCACGTTTGTGTACCTTGTTTGCTGAATTCGGTGAAGAGGCTGAGGCTCGTGATGGACGGCCCGGTGAAGATGATGGTGTTTTTGCCCGAGATGTTCTGGCAGAGCTGCTTGGCCACGAGGCTGTGGAGCTGAGGCTTGTTCTTTAAGGTGGCCAGACTGTCTGTGCCCTCCTTCAGATGGACTGAGATCTGCAGCGTGGGCGGAAAAAAACACGTCAATAAAACAGACATAAAACTAACAAACTTTACTTCAGTTTCAGTATGGTTTTATTGTCCTCTGGGACAGAAAATCCTGCAGCTGCTATTTAAGGCTTAACCCTCAGTAAGGCTGCAACTTTCACTCTACAGCACTGTGTGATGGAACAAACAGTAGTTTGATGATTTTGTTTTTCTTTATCTGACCAGCAGAGGCTAAAAAATTTCCTTTGAGGTGGCCCTAGGGAAGAGGCCGGGAGTGCCTTAAATCAAAATCTACCTGTATACATAAACTCATTAATGCATTTTCATAGCAATATGCTGATGTCATTTATGGGAAAAATGCCAGGTTGAAATATATCTGTGACTGGTTGCACAAAACACCTTAGGTGTTCTCCTTGAGTATGACACTTAAGACTTAATTTCTCTGTAGCTGAGGAACTTACACAGTTACACAGAATCCCCTAAAAAAACATTCCATTGTTAAGGAAAACTTATTTACTGGGTTGAAAGTGTGGTGATGAAAAGGCCTACAAATACTTGACCCTTAAGGTCAAGTTAGAGGCAAAACCTGTTTACTAAAATTGAGCAACCCTGAATGGTCTCACTCTGGAGAGAAGTCTTGAACCAGAGTGACCTGGCAAACATTGTGATGGGAAAACATTGTGATGGTGAAACATTGTGATGGGGAAATAGATGTCGTTGGCAGAACACCTTGTGGTAAAACGTCAAGAATTAAAGCTATAGTTGTTAATGTTGGAGAGGTAGCAAGATTTGAAAGCGGCACCTCCTCTAAGCTCCACCCCCTCCTCCCCTTCCTGTCAGTGCGCCGTCCAAAGCCATGGCTCCACAAACTTGAACGTGCATCCTGCAGTAGGTAGGAGTCAGCAGGGCAGAGGAGAGCCGAGTAAAATAACAAATCCCCCTGAAGCAAACAAATACAACTGAGGGAGCTGAAGGGCCTGAAAAGTGATGCAGAGGTTGCTGTCTAACAGAAAGACAGCAACCTCTGCATCACTTTTCAGGCCCTTCAGCTCCCTCAGTTGTCTTCACCGTTCAAAAGCTGCACCGATATTGACGTCTGGTTTGTCCTCTCGCTTTATCCAAAGCCTTTTTTGTCGCAGCCTTTTCTGCCTCCGACTTTCTTTTCTCAGCCTGTTTAGCGGGGCAAGCCGTTACAAGTAACACTGGAAGTGGTACTTTTGGCTGCATTTTCTCTGCCATTGTTCAGCAAACTCCTGCTAACTCTGTATTTCTGCTGAGGAGTGTGCTGAATATTTCCGGCAATGGTGACACGTGATGAGTGCACGCAGGGAGGAGGGAGGGAGGGACAGAGGGGAGCTCGTGCAGGACGAGACATGAAGCCATCTGATTGGTTCTTTCCATTCACACCGAATGGCAGGGATTGGTCAGAGTTTTTACAGGCCTGAAGCTGCCACAGAGGTCAGATTTTTTTCATCCCTTTTTCTGAACACATTATGTAGTATAGATATTATAGTTAGATAGTGAAAGAATGGCAGAAGAAAAGAAGACAAGAAAACCATACTGGTCAGAGGAGGAAAAGATTATACTTCTGGAGGAATACAATCATAGAAAGCACAAACTACAAAGTAAATTTGATCCACAAATACCAGAAAACAGAAAAGAGGGTGAATACAAGCATATTCAAGCAGACATTGTGAGAAAAGTTAAGTGTTATTTAAAGCACGTAAACATGTTCTAGTAAAAAAGTATGAACCTGCATAATAGGTCCCAATCGAGGTCCCTTTTCTTTCCCTCCTTCATTTCCTGTCATCTTTCTACTGTTAAGTCTCTCATAAAGGCAGGAAATACCCAAATATATACAGCAAAAAAGTACATTTTAGTCTGATGTTGGCACAAGAAGAAAGCTCATAAAAAATCCAAAAATTAAAAGATTTCATCCTCTTGAGAACATCAATGTGTTCAGTAAATTTCATCGTAATCTGCCAAATAAGTTTTGATACCTAAAGTCGGGCTCTAACTTTTAAAAACATCCCAAGCTACCTATAATATCCAAACTGTGAGGGGATCACAGAGGTGTTTTAAGAGCGCCCACTGAGGGCTGTGATATGAATATTTCATGGCAATCTGGCCAGATATGTTCCTCTGGATAAAGGCGGACTGAGCTGTGCTGGTACATGGTGCCCTTGAAGATACAAGTCTCAAAAGAAATATGAAGAGAAGACTGACCTTCAAAGAGAGCCATTATTAAATATATACAAATAGAGATGCAAACCTTCAAAGACTCCAGTGTCCTTATATTCTTGCCGCTGTTCACGAGCTGAACGGCATTAGCCTGATTAGTCTGCATCTACGTCAGGCCTTTAGCTATTACACTAAGTGGTCAGTCCATGCCTCTGTGTGTGTGTGTGTGTGTGTGTGTGTGTGTGTGTCCCCGTGTGGTGCACTGGCTAATGGAATCTCATTGATTCACTCCATTAACTCATTTTATTTCTTTGAATTTTTTTTCTCTCTCCCTCGACACAATTCATTTAAAGAGAGAAGATCTCAGTGCAGGCACACATCCGCGGACTGGTAAAGACTGAGTGACTGCCAAATGGCCACAGTCAGTGTGAATGCTAATGCTTATTTGTTAAATGGATGGGATAATGGGATATGGCTCTAAAGGATGGAGCCTGGGATGCATCTCGTGCACAACTCGTTTTACACAGGAGATTTGGGATTACGAGAAAAGTTATGAATTGATGTGATTTCATTCGATATAAAGCAACAATAAAAGAGAAAAAAAATAGGCAAATTAAAATTCTGATCGTGGTTGGTCCCTGACTCCGCTATTGTAATTCTGGACTACATCCAGGCTAAAGAAGGAAACGCTTCCCCTGCAGCGTAGTCTTATGCCCAAGATCTATCTATTTATGGGATCTCTGCAGTGAAAAGCCTTTTTCTTCACAATGTGAGATTATTGTATCACTGTACTTTCCACCAGAGTTCTCCAAAAGCCTGGTAAAGTTCCTTATTCTCATACTTGAGCAAGAAAATGTGAGCATGCTTTACTAACATCCTTCTTTTATTCTGTTTCTGATGCCAGCATTAAATACTGCACTGCACTGGGTGTTACTGTTAAAAAATAAAAGATTAAAAAGGTCTCTTCCCATTGTGCCTCCAGTGCAAGCGATGAGGGACAAAATCTCCCTCAGGCACAGCTCAACACAAAAACCCAAAAAGAGACTTTTGTTCTAAAAAGACTCAAGAAGATAACGACTTGATTTGACTACCTCAGATGGCTGAAGCCTCATAACAGCTTCAGATAAACTTTTAAATATATTTTTCACAAAAGAAGGATTGTGTCCGCCCATCACTGACATTTAAAGTCAGTTTGTTTGCTGTTACCTGACAGATAATTAAAGCAAGCAAAACCTGTTCATATGGACAGTTCAGCAAGGGAGGACACGCACAAAGAGAACAAAAGAGACTGAAACTAGAGTCTGGATTTTAAACGCTTCTGTTGACATATTAAGGCTGTGCAGACTGTGAAAAAATGTGCAAAAATTGCAAACATTTCAGTCCATGTTGGACTCTCCTCAGTGCAAAAAGAGGCATGCATGAGTCACCTTATATGTAGGTTACTCTACCGGTGTACCTAATCAGTCACCTGGGGCTTGATTGAACACACATGAAGCCAATTGCGAGCAGGTCAAGTCATCACAAGCACACCAGAATAATACAGCTCCACAGCACTGACACATTCTCATACACATACTAACATATTTATAATTAACTTTAAAACTTAACACATTTAAAACACAAGGAGACTGAAACAACTAACATGTCAAAAAAAGATAAAATAAGGAAGTAAAGTAAAACTAAAATCAAGATAAAGAGTTCTGAACAATCGGAAGTCTTTGTGAGGTTTTTTGATGAAGATTATAAACTCCGATCAGCCAAAACATTAAAACCACCGACAGGTGAAGCGATTAACATTGATAATTTTGTCACAGTGCAACATTCTGCTGGGAAACCTTTGGTCCTGGCATTCATGTGGCTGCCTTGCCTCCCAAGTCCCCACATCCGGATCGGATCGAGCATCTGTGGGATGTGCTGGTTCCCCACCTCACAACCAACAGGTCAGACACCACAGGAAGAGGTTCTGTGTCCATGCCTTGACATGTCAGAGCCAAGTCCAATACAAAATTGCACCACCGTGGATTAGAGGTACCTCTGGGAAACTAGCGCATCCCACAAATGCTCAATCAGACTGGGATCTGGGGAATTTGGTTTCAGGTCATTCCTGAGCAGTTTTTGGAGTGTGTTATGGTGCACTGTCCAGCTGGGAATGCCAGTGTCATAGGGGAGTGTCGAGAGCAGAAATGATAGACTTGTACACTGGGGATGGGACTCACTGGTACAGGAAGACTGTAAGATAGAGTCAAAGAAAAGCTTTCTAATGCTTTAATTTGGTCAAAGTCGAAGATATGTCTGCATTAACATTGAAGGAAAACCCCACTGCAACAATCAGGACCCTTGAATATTGTGTTAAAACAGGCCTGAAAACTGTGACCCCATCCTTTGAGGTTAAGGTCAGCTACATACTACATGATAGTTACTATGATTAAAGAGTTGGTTTACCCAAATTTAAATCATATGCTCTCTCTTGAAACTGGAATTACAGTCTCTAACAGTCTCTCTGAAAACAGTCTCTGAGTAGAGCAGATACCATTTCTGGAGAGACATGTTGAATTTTTAATGCAACATTTCATCACTGTGAGCACCACAAACCCCAAAAAATTCCCTTCACCTTCACTGTACCAGGGTACATATGAAAATTTCAGAGACATATCTCAAAACCAGGACAAATAAAACCAAATTTATGTGTCAAAAAAAAAAGGTCTAGCTGCATAGTTAGTTATCACTGGAGGTAAATAAGTTATGTGAGTGATGGTGCTCCTCAGTATCGCAGTGCTGGTGTGCGTGAGTCCTGCATAATATTTATACAGTCATAAAAAATCACTTTAACAAGCTGCATCCTGCTGGAAAAATGAGCGCTCTCACTTTCAGTTTAACATCCACAAATGCAGTGCAGTAGTTAGGAGGGTTCCTCCATCGCTTGTCACCACTTTAACAACACAGAATAAAAATGGCAGCCTCTTCCAGTTGTGGTTTCTAATGTTTTCTCCTCAGTCCTCTGTAATGGTCAGGGTCAGTCAGGTCTGTCAGTGCTCCTGCAGTCCCTGGCCTCAGTTAAATGGTGCTGTTATATAAGCAACCGGCGTAGGAGTGGAAGGTTGGAGTAAGGGCAAGGTTGTTAGTGAGCAGAGCAGCCCTGCCTGCCTGAGATGTGACAACACAGATCTAATCGTGTGCCGGCGGCTATTCAAATCCAAAACAACATCAGAAGAAAAATCTGACGACGAATATTTTTGCCCAGAAGACATTTTTCACTTCGATGAGATGAGTTTGATCATTTTTGAAAATCAAACTTTGTGTTTTCTGCGTGTAAAGCCTGCAAACGTTCACCATGAATTTATTAAAAGTTATTTTATTCTTTGTAGCGCTGGCGAGTAATTGGCTGAATGCAAAACGAGGCAACATCGACAACCTGAGAATGAGATTTGAAACTTGGTGGAGATCAAAGACTCTGATGTTTTCATGAGAGCGTTTTTGACTTCGGGCACACTGACGACTTTTTCTTGCATTTTTGATGTAAACTATTAGATTTCTGCTGTGAAGTTTGAAAGCAGCAAATTAATATACCCTCATGGCTAACACACAAACTCATACACTTTTCTCTCTCATCTCTTCACTCTCGCTTGCCTCTTTTCACCCTCAAATCAGACCTGAAACTGATGTGATCCTGATTGCTGAGTACACTGAGGGGCGAATACATACAGAATGGATTGCAGCCACTGAAAGCACCATGAATTGCTCATCACTTGAAACCGCTACTTGTCCCGTCCAAAGGTCTGATTCACAAGAGACATTGGCTACTATTATAGTATAGTAGTATAGTATAGCGCAAACATGCCCATTAAGTTTTGCAACTGAGTGAATTTCTTTTTTTTTTTTGCATCTGTTGGAATTAAGCCACGTGGAAAAACACAAATGTTGCCTTTGTGCCAAGAACACAGTGGGCAGATCAATGGAAGAGAGAAAAAGAAAACTGAAACTGAAACAGAAAGTCAAAAGTGAAATTCTCCTTTGATATATCTGCTCATGGCGATGCCTTTGCCTTCTACAATCACTGCTACCATGATCACTAGGTAACCACATGTGGCAATTAGCGCTGGGCTTTGTCTATAGCTTCTTTGCATATGACATCATACATCAATGCACTGTACAGATGGAGGGTAGTGAGCTGGAGGCAACACTACACAAACCTCCGTCTAAAAAAAGCCAATTAAAATCCCGAAAATAGTAAGATGTAAAGGGGAGAAGAAAAAACAAAACAGAGAAACATCGCCAGGTGTGGATCAAAAATCTCCTTCAGTACGCCGGAGTGGAGTCAACTAGTGTCAAATGTTAACATTAAATTGTTGTGTAACACATGCCTCAAATTGGAAGGAATTACAAAGCAACTTCTCCGTGTTTTTAGCCACGACACAGATTTCTGACGGCATTTTAACAGACCTCTGGGGACGGTTGAACTCGTAGGTAGAAAATAATAACTAAAGTTAGCTAACGTTAGCTTGACAGCGGTGCATCCATGTACTAAGTTGGAATTAGGGGTGTGCCATATCATTTAATTCACAATAATACCGGTATATTTTTTAATATCATATTAAAAACTCATGTTGTGATATTCGCAATATTTCGGCTTGTTGACATACTGACGTCATACTGTTACCCATGGCAACAACAAGCATGGCTGAAAGCAAAATTATGACCGACTCCGCAGTGGTTCCAAAAAGAGGAGCAGCTTCAGTAGTGTGGAATAAACTGTGGCGTCCTGAATGTTGTATGAACAGCCCCGGACTTCTCAGACTCTTTTAGTGACTTACAATTCAGAGGGAACTCATTCAGTGGCTCCTCTGGCAGCAGCACAGCGTCTCTTCCTCTCCTCTCTCGCCGTGTGCACAGCAGAGTCGGTGTCGTCAAGTGATTTTGTCATAAACCTTTGGTAATGTTAACCTATGTGATGATCAGTAAAAAAGTCCATATATGTGAATGTGCGATAGTTGTGGTATCATAACAGCCTGTCACAGGTTACAGCGTGATGATTAGAGGAGAAATGGCAGAGCATAAAGGTCCAGGTGGAAAAAACAACAACTCAGTCATTTAGGATTTTGTTAAAAGAAGGAAATCAACTGTTGATTCATATATATAGATCCCAGGGGACATTTTTTGTATTTGGGAGCTGTTTAAATGTGTAATTTGGGGTAGATTTCATTTTGTTGAACTATTAATATTGTATACAGAATCTGAATCTCACTCTGAGTTACTGATGTTGTTCACATACTAAACAGAAATGATCTCTCATTTGTTAGTTTTTACTGAATATTATACAAATCTGTTAAATCACCAGGAATATTGTTATCGCAAAAATACAATGAAATATCAAGATATTATTTCAGGGCCATATCGCCCACCCCTAGTTTGGAATATCAAAGGCAGTTATACTCAAGCACATTCACTCATCCTGCCAAAAACAAGACAGCAGTCATTTCAGTCATGAACCCAACTGTCCAAAAAGTACTTTTAGTCCACTGGACTCTTCCTACGTGCTATATCATAGGCAACTGGACTTGCTTCCTGAAGACGTTTCACCTCTCATCCAAGAGACTCCTTCAGTTCTGAAGAAGCCATAAACTGAAGAGGCCTCTTGGATAAGAGGTGAAACATCTTTAAAAACTCAAGTAAGTTTAGTTGCCTACGATATAGCACTGACCTGGATGACTCTTGGTGAATCTTCACCAACACTGGACTCTTGTTCGCTTTCATTCACATCCACACCTTTTATCTTGTCTATTTTTACAGTTTTAATTTTATACTTGTTTTTAAGATCTATACACACTGTGTGTGCTTTCAGAATCTGTGTTGTGCAATTGTTTCTAATCAGTGTATTGTCTTGTCTTGTATGTGGAGCCACATCAAAGAAGATTTTCTGTTACAACAGACAATAAAGTTTTCTGAATCTGAATCTGAATCTGAATTTGCTTGCTATGTAACGTTAGTAATGTTAGGAGAACTGGAGGGCGAGGGAATTTGTTGAACGATGTGTCCAAGCCGGGCAAGTTGTTGGTTGTGGGAAAAATGACTTTTCTTTGTATGGATCACATCAAACATGTGTTTCAGTTTTCTTCATCTTACCCTTTCTGTATTCCCTTTCCTCTTTATCCTATTCACACAGCATTAGGATTTATTGCTTCTTTCCCTCCGTTTGAGTTTGGCGCATCATAATAGTCATGTGATTGCAAAGAAGCTATTGGAATATTTTTGCAATATGGCTTATTTGCATGGAAAGGGACCAATTTTGCATCAAATGTATGCATGCTACGTTATTTAAATGGGTGCAAATAGCACAGGAGAGCACCGCAGTTAATGGTACATTTCAGTTTTTGCGGGTGCTTTTAGTTTATTTATATCTTATTTGTGCAGGTTTAGCGGCCGCAAAAGCCGCGCAACCTCTTTCTGAATTCGTCTTAAGTATTGTTTGTTGTTACCTGACAGATGAATCCAGTCGAGGTACACTGTCGAACCCAGAGGCTGAACTTCCTCTTCTTCCTCTTCCTCAGCTCTCTTTCCGTGCAGGTGGTAATGAACACCGGATCCTCGTCTATCAACGGCTCATGAAGAACCTGCAAACACACAGGATGAGTTACTGTAAGATTGTCTCGGTGGATTTTTATATAACCAAGTCACAAGTAAAGTACTCATTGTGTTCCTGGAGAAGAGCTGGCCTTGAGAAGAGAGAATAAAAAGTATTTTTGTGTGCGGCATAAGAGCGAGGTTGTGTTGATGATGTAACATTACAGCGAAGGGTTAGAGAGGGAAGGCAGCCAATCGAAGATCCTAACAAGTCTCGTATGTGTGTGAGGGTGATACACTAGAGAGAGAAAACAGTGTCCTCGGCAGAAACACGCTCTCAGCTGTGCCGATCTGTCTGCAAAAGCCTTCAGAAGAACACCTTTCCCTTTTTTCTGTTGTTTCAGTCTTTGCTTTGTCCTTCATATTTGCATTAATACGCTATCCGCTTCAGTATTTCTGTCTGTCTGCATCTTTCTTTTTATAACCACGAGAAGAAAAAAACAACAAAACAAAACAAAAGAAAGACATTGTCTGTGGTTCGCTTTTTAGCTTCAGACCAAACCAAAACAAAATAGACAAAATAAAAAATAAATCTAAAAAAAATAAACAAGGCATGACTGTAACTGTGTCCCAAGTGGTAAAAATAGAGAGAAAAGAAGTGTTTACTCCTTTAGACTTTTCTCAACTTGGCTATGAATGATGCAGGAAATTCACTGAGACCTGGGGGAAAATGTCTCGAGGAAGTTATCACAAAAACAGTGGTTCTGCTGTCTATTAAAAATTAAATATGATGGAAAATAATAAAGCCAAGCAGTTATTGAGTTATCTAAACGCTTTTATGATTCTCCACCTTTATAACAAGCACCAGAGTAAAGCTGGAATGATTGGCCAGTTAATCAATGAGTTGATCCAAGGGATGCGCACGATTAGTCGTTGGTACTTTCGCTTGCATCAGAAATGCTGGTCGGATCAGTAGACGAACTGAATATAGACCTAACAGATGACGTCTGGGATAAATGTTTAAGGAATATACACAACTGTTCAGTCAATGTCAGACTCAGTCTTGCACAGTTCAAAACTTGAGAACATAGACATAGACTCTATTATTCCAGGGAAAGGCTACATAGCTTTTTTACTGATGTGCCACCTGTCTGTAATCGCTGTAACTCCACAATCAGCAATTTAGCACATGCTCTCTGGTCATGCAGTAAATTGTAGACATATTGAAAGAGCATTTTTCACTGTTTGTCTGAGGCTTCTGGGAAATCTTGGGAATCTGATCCACTCACAGCTATCCTCAGAGCGACTAGCTCCTTTTCCTCTGAGAATACCGAAAAAAAATGGCTGTTTTATTTGGAATGGTGATCGGAAAGAAGTTAATTTTATGAGTGTGGAAGATGGTCTCTATTCTACGGAAGCGTATTGCATTCACTTGACAAATTAAAAAAGCCATGTTTTTCTGAGTAATTTTTTCTGTTTTTTTGGAGTAATTTATTTATTTTTCTGTTTTTCGTGGTAATTTTTTTCTGTTTTTCGGGGTAATTTTTTTTCCTGAACGAGAACGAGATACTTCAAAATCTCGTGAGAAGCTCCCACCTGGCACCTGCAAGTGACCCCTGCATCCATGGTGACTCCTGCTCATGGATGTATTTTGCATCCATGCTCCTGCTCCTAGACAATTTCAACTACGGGATCAATAAGGGTAAGGCATGTAATTAGTTACACACAGGGTATGATAATCTAGCTATGTTTTCGACTGCATCCTTGTAGAGTAGGCCAATCGCTCAATGTGACAGGTTAGGTTAAAAAAAAATAAAAAAAAAAATTACCATGAAAAACAGAAAAAAATTACCACAAAAAACTGATAAAAAAAATACCCCGAAAAACAGAAAGAATTACTCAGAAAAACAAGGCTTTTTTTATTTGTCAAGTGAATGCAATACGCTTCCATACTATTCCCACATATGATGTAGGGTTAAATGAAATGACTAACACATGACATCTTGGAGAGACTGAGATTCTATAAGGAGGACAAAGGGTGTTTGATAAGATTTGGGACCCTGTACTGAAATTCTTTCAGAGCGAATGCTAATGTAATAATATTTTTTACATGAAGCACCTTGCTGTGTATATCTTCCCTTTTCTGTATATGTAATTTTTACTACTACTACTTTGTGCTAATTGCTCTGACTGTGGCCACTGTTACATGTGATGTGCTATGCTTGTTGGCTTTGTTTAAACATATAAAGAAATGCTAGTCGGTTAAATTTATTATTAAAATACCCAGAGGAAAATGGGAGGAGTTCGAACAAACACATATGTGCACTCTCACACACACTTCTTGCTAAGCTGAATGAGAGAGGTGCTTAGGGCTTTTCCTTAGTTGGCCCCATGGGAGATCCTGAAAAGACCGGACGTATGTGTGTGTGTATGTGATTGTGTGTATGATTATGTGTGTGTGTGCATGAAAGAGTTATTATGTGAGTGTGTTTTTGTTGAATGGAGATGAGTTGCAATGTTAAATACTCAGTAAAGAAATGTCAAGTCAAGTCATTGTCATTGTCATGTTTTAGAGCACAGAGCACACACATTTCAGTAACATTTGAAATATGATTTGGTATTTGAAAAAATGTGATTAAAGCTTATAATATGCACAATAATATTTCAGACAATGTTTGACCTGTTTGACCAACCTCCTTGTGGGAGAAAGCCAAGCAACCCGGAGAAAATACCCGCTGACACAAGGAGAACATAAAAAACTCCACGTGGAGAGGCTCCCCGACCCCAGGTTCGAACAAGGAAGAATTGCTATAGGCGACAAAGCTAATCACTGCACCACCATGTCCCCAATGTTTGACCTTATAGATTCAATTTGGCTACAATTTGTCTGTTAATTATAAATGGTAAATGGACTGTACTTGTATGGCGCCTTTCTAGCCCTTCCGACCACTCATAGCACTTTTACACTACATGGCACATTCACCCATACACACACTGGTGGCCGAGGCTACCACACATGGTGCCGCCTGCTACTCAGTAACCATTAGCACACACTCACACATTGATGAAACAGCCACTGGGAGCAATTTGGGGTTCAGTATCTTGCTACAGGATATTCTGACATGCGGAGTGGAGGAGCCGGGGATTGAACCGCCGATCTTGGGATTAGTGGACGACCCACTCTACTTTTGAGCCACTGCCAAAAAAACTGAACATCTTTGTGTTTTGTTTGTTGCTGATTTTGTGGTCATCAATTAAACTGATGAACACAACTGAAGAAATGTCTAAGTTTATATAAAAAAGCAGGGTGAACTGTGGCATCTTTCTCTCTTCTTTCTCTTGTGCATTTACTGTTTGCCAGATCTGCTCACTGTCTTTAAATAGTCCAAAAAGGTCAGATGAGATACTGAGGATGAATTTCCCAACGGGGATTAACTAAAGTATTAAATGCTGGTGCACATTCACGAACACATCCAAACAGGGGCATTAACAGGAAACACACACACAAAACCAAATATTATCTAACCCTTTCTTGGACAATTACATGAGCACAGTACACATAAATCCTGGCCAAATATTTCCTTTTGGCCACAACCAATATTTGCATTTCAAATGTCTCTCCCTTCCTCCGGTGTCTTCCCCGCCTCAGCCTCCTCCCGCTCCATCATGATTTGACTAAAGCTGAAGTGCGCAGTGACCAACAGCTCTCTCCGGCTCCTGGACGGAGCGCAACAAGTCATTTCCAAGTCAAATATGGAGTTATGGATTATACAAGTGGAAAATTAATTAGGCTATCTAGCCTCTGGATGGATGACATCACTCAAACCACAACGGCCTTTTAAGAAATATCTCATCCTGTCGCTACCACACATTAGCACAGCGGTAGCTCCTGCAGCACGCTTCTCTTGGTGACCAGATATTTCTCTGCACCTTATCTTAACAGCTGAAAAAAAAGGTAGTGCTCATGAATGCCTCGAGTAAATCATTTGCAAGGGTTCACTAATCCTGTGCTGGACAAAGAACGGAGGAAAATCAATCCACTCACTCAACTCACAGTCTTGCAGTGGATGTTCTGTGAGGACTGCGACAAATGCTCTCAAAGATTTTACACTTGCAAATCAATACAAAGCAATGTCAACAGATCATCTTAGCGACTGCAAAACTGCCAGACTGACACAGAAAATGTGAAGCGTCGCTGTCAACAGGAGCTGACATGACATGCTAATATTCAGCACTGCATTTGTTCACACGTTAGCGCCCATGTTCACACACACACACACACACACACACACACACACACACCACATCATGTTGAATAATACTCAGTGGCAAATAAATCCAGGTCACACAGGCTCACATGTAGAGAGATGTCCTGTATTTGAACAAAAAAATGGATGATGCAGTTTCCTCCTGTTTCTCATTTTTTGACACTTAAAAATAGAGCTGAATTGTTTTTAATCAATTATCATAATCAAAATAATAATAATAATAATTCACATAATCAAAACAGTCTTTTTTTTAAGCAAAAAATGCCCTAAATTCTCTTGTTCCAGCTTCTAACAGGTGACTATGTGCCAGTTTTCTTCTTTAAAGGAGCATTGTGTAGGATTTAGTGCCATCTAGTGGTGAGGACTGCAGATTGCAACCAGATGAAACTTCCCCCATGTGCCAAACGGGAATCCCGGTTAGGCTTTCTTCAGCGTTCACTGTTCAGGAGGTTTTTACAGGAAGCTGAATTATCTGCAGAGGTCTCTTCCTCTCTAACACAAACAGATCAAAGATTTAAACTGGTAAAAACACTAAATAAAGCGGCTGCACGTTACAAAATCATTGTTTTTCCGATGTAGTTTGGCTCGTTGGGGAGGGGCTGCTAACTACTTTGGCCAAGGCGTTTTTGCGCCAGCCACTGTTGTGGAATAATAATGATAAAGAATTGGTACATCATGACAATTTATAGTGTCTGACAAACAGGCACTGTAGGTACTGAAGGTACTTTGTGATGCTTCCTGTTATTCAGATAACCGATTCTGAAAACAAGTGCTTCTCCTCACATAACCAAATTTGGCCAGAGTCATGTCAGATCATCTGGCTGAAGTCACATCATGTCATCTACACTATAACATCAAAGTTAGCAGTGTTTACCAGTGTTTGGTTTGTCTGTTTTGGGCTACTGTAGAAACATGGCGGTGCAACATGACAGACTCCAGTCATACTTACTGCAATAAATTCTATTTCTGCCAATAGAGTGTGCCAGGGCTGACGTCAAAACCCGGAAGTTTAGCATTGCGCTGGTTCCCGGAAGAGAAAGTGAATGTGATTTTTGCATTGCGTTTTGGATTATGTCAGTACTTGGATTATGGCTAACACAAGTTTATGATACTTACAAGTTTTGTTCAGCGAGATAATCTTCACATATGAACACCTTTCATACCGCATTTGAAGCTTAAATGCGATCGCCAGAAGTAAAAAGCGAACGTTAGGCTTTAACGGACTACATGACTACTCCACGTCGCATGACTCTTGACGTCACCGCCACTAAGCTTTCAACTGATTTCGGCCGCTTTATTTTAAAAACATTGTATAATGGGAAAATCGGACTGTTTAAGCTAAATAAGAAGCTGTAATGGACTGCCAGCACTCTCGTCTGTTCAGGGGTGATGACGTTTAATGTCCCCGACAGGGTTTGTAGTCGTATTGAGCAACTTGTTAGCAACCGCCTTTTTTACGACACGTAAAAGCTTCAACATTCACAAGTAGGGTATTTACTGACGTGTTTTATGTCGTAGTACAAAACCTGAAACTCGCTTAAGCTTTTGTTAACCACAGACCTTATTCGAGGCATTTTACCAAAATCCCATTCAAAAAACGGATTGACTTTTAGATGAGAGTGCTAAAAGCGCTAACGGAGTTCCGGGTTTACTGGCACACTCTATATATCCTCTTAAATCCTACACACTGGACCTTTAATATCAACCAAACAGTGCTCAACTGTTGATATTAAACACGGCAGCTTGGACTTTTGAAAACTGTAATTTCCATTTTTTGCTATTTTTTGTCATTTCACTGACTTAATGATTAATTGATTCATTGTGAGAACAAACAACAGATTAGATGATAATGAAAATAATCATTAGCTGCAGCCTAAAATCAAACCAGTACATCAGCCTCTTTCCTTCCTTCTACGTCAGTCATTAAATGGGCTGATTACTTTTCCATTGTCTGTGGAGCAACAGTTTCCGTCTGTGCCACTCTCGCTATCTGGGCCCACTCTCTGCCCCTGGCACAGAAAACCAACAGATAAAACAAACTGGCCTAGATACACATGTACATCTCCACAGCTAACGACGCACACACGCTGTCTGACAGCCGGTCTGCCCTCATTGTTTCACTTTAGTCAGTTTTAGATTTAAGTGGATGGAGAGACATGAAACCGTTTATTACTTCACAATGCAATAAACTCATCAGGATTTACATTCAGACTGCTTTGACGGCACAATGACATCGCTGATTGAGACTTGGCTGTGATATGAGGAGGGGGGTTTGCTCTTAACAGCCTGTGTTCCCAAATGCATCACAGCGCTGACATCATCTCGCACAATGACGATGATGTTATAGCACTCATAGTGCAGGAAGGCAATTTAATCAACTGCTTCCCAGAAATTCATTAATTTTTAAGAGCTTGACAGTGTCTACAGGGGTGGCATCAAGATCCCACTGGAATATGATTAGTCAACCCCAATGCCCTCCTCCTAACCACAGTCTGAATACGTCAGGTTGACTTTTATGCAACCCACTCCCAAGGATAAATGGTGGTACTGTACCTTTCTTGTCTTGAAAAGCGCCTATAAATAAAATCTACTGTTCTTATTATCATTTCTGCAAACCACAGATATGTAACATTTGCAGGTTATTATGTAGCAGATATGTTGAACTTTATGTTTCTTTACATTTCAGCAGCCCTGTAGTTAATGTGTGGTTATGATTAGGCATAAAAATCTCTTGGTTATGCTCAGGACAAGATCATGTTTTGGCTGAAAATACTCAGTTTTGCTGGCACAGTTACAACTGGAGACGCTGGGATGTTTCGGTTTGTTGCTTTTGAACATTGGTCTGCGGCTTGGCAGCCATCTCGCTTAGGTCTCACGCTGTCCACCATCCCCTCCTCCTCCTGATGACAAAGTCTGCTCATTTACACACAATCAGACCTATGTAAAAATGTTTCGTATCTGTGGTTTCCAGAAATGTACAATGCTAACATTTTCCTCTAGCAACTGTGCTGGTTATTTTCTACGTTTCTAACTCATTGTTATTGCTGCCTATTTCGGCCAGAACACTCCCCGAAAGATTAAAGCTGCATTAGTCTTTTTTTTTAACATAAACAATCGCTGAAATGACAGCATGTAAAGTGTAAGTGTAAGGTGTCGCTTGTAGTGACATACCTACAGAGAATTATCACCTGACTTAGCTCTACTGATTATTTTAGGCCCTTTAAAGGGATAGTGCACCCAAAAATGACGTTTGAATCTGGGGCGTCATAAGCCTCCATTAGGTGGAGTTTTGTTGCTACCTCCTGTCCCCTGGGATCTCCGCAAGTGTTGTGAGGACTCTAAAACTTCACCTGAGCCTCCATCGGCATATGGGAGAGTAGATAATGGCTAAATTTTCATTTTTGGGTGCACTATCCCTTTAAGCTTATTGTTTTGGTTTTATGGCCCACGACTCTCCTGTTTTGGTCCACTCTCATTGCTCTCAGCACAATTTCAACTGCAAGAGGCAGCTGTTTTCACTAAAAAATGCTGCAATCTATTGAACTTGGAACATGGAAAATTGCAATGGAGCGGTCATTTATGTCTGAATTGCAAGCCAGAAGCTTGGAAAAGATTCAGTTTGCCTGATTTTGCCAACATAAACACATATGACGTCACAGCAACATGGCGGCACTTACAGTGTATGGAGCACAATTATCTTTTCATTTGTTTTTATTTTTTATGTAGTGTTTGTGTTCTATAACTCTAGATCACACTATTACACTCAACACCCACAATTTTGAGTTGTTGGTTATCTTAATGAGCAACGTAAAGCAAGACAGCTGGCTTATTTCATACCCCATCTCTCCTTACTAATGGCACTGTGTTGAGTAATGTAGGTCCTCTTTATATGCTTGTGAAGCTCAGAAACTTGCCGGACAAACATTATGATGATTTCTTGAGCAGATGCACTGGGTTGCATTTAGATCGGAAGTCAGAATCAGAATTATCGACGTCTGACTGAATTGCAGGGAAGCTCACATAAATTTGACTGTACACTTCCTGCCCAGCATTGAAGGGTTGACAGACAAAATGAGCAACTAGCTGGTGAAATTTGTTTCTGGTGACTGGACCTCTCTCAACCATGAGTCAGTGGTAAATAAAAAGATGTTAACTCGGGACGATCAGGAGAAACAACACACTATGATCTCTGTTCCTTCTGTCAATTGCCACAACACTCTGCTCTTAATAACACACACTTCAAACTTGATCTTCATCAGCTTTCAGAAAACATGCTTGAGTGGTTGCTGCTGCCTCTCTTTGCTCAAGAAGAGCGCATCACTTTGTATTGTTTCTCAAGTTGAACAAGAGCACACAGATGATATACAAGTGCTAATTTGATATCACAGATTCTACTTCAATCTGGTTTGTTTATCCGCTGCTCCTTTAGAATCTGCAGTGCTGCTGTTCATCCGGAAAAGAAAGTAAAGTAGGAGTCGAATAAACTTCCAGCCCACCCAAAATAGAGTAGCAAGGCTGGCGCTCCACTGCCCCAGTTGCATAAATGTAACTCTAATGCGTACAGTGCAACTGAAAACAAGTGGAAGTGAGTCCTCTGGAGGGGAGGTCGTCAACAATGACTGCCTCATCCAAATACTTGCTGTGTAGACGGTTTTCAAACTGGGGCTGCTTGGGGGAACTATTTAGTTGGTTCACCCTACTTCAAAAGAAAACTGTCTTTGCATTTTTATTTTACAAGGTAACTGGGGGACTCCTTTGCTGCTGTATTAACAGTGCATACATATACCTTAAAGTGAACATACACTGCCAACCAGAAAACAGTGAGTCAGCAAATCTCTGATGTCTAAAATATGAACTTAAAATGTCTCGAAACATTTTGTCTGCTGTTTGCCAAACATAGATCAGCACTAGAAGTTTCATATGTCGCATTTCTTAGAATACCCTGCATTATTAATGAGAGGTCATAAAAGATATAATGCTTGATGTCAGCTGTGTTGTTAAATCTCGTTGACCCCTGAAGGACGAGTAAGTTCTGGGTGTGAGTTAATAAAAAGTATAATGTTCAAAGCAGGTCACGGAAATGTAGAATCAGTATGAGAATGAGATATGTAGCACCGAGCTGTCTTTAATTATAAGATGCTTTAGGGCAGTGGTTCCCAACTGGTCCAGCCATGGGGTCCAGATTTCTGCTGAGTCATTAGTTCAAGGTCCAAACAGTTTAATACAGTCAGCGTCATACTTTCGTTTGGATATGTTGTTGAGCTAGTTTGCTGTCTGTCAAGTAGCTGTCACTTAATCTACTGCAGGAAACGGCACTTCAAAATAAAAATTCTGCGCTGGAAATTCACTGTACTTCAAAATAAAGTGTTTTTTACAAATCTGACAAGTGTGCAAGTCACTTCCAGCCCATTCAGAATGGACCCGTGACCTACTTTTGGACCACGACCCACCAGATGGGAACCACTGACTTAGGGACACCCAGGCGTGCAGGAGAGTTCACCCACCTGTGTCTGTGAAGGTCTGAAGGTGCAGCTAAACGACTGCTGCAGTGAGTCCAGGAAGGGCTGGATCTTGTACAGGCCCTGGTTGCTTCCCTGTGACGGCCGGAAAGCCACAATGTGGAAGTACTTGAGGATCTTCTCGAAGCGCGCCTGGCTCATCTTCAAGGCGATGCTCCGGTTGCTGAAGAAGCCCGAGCTCCAGATGCTGAGCACTGACTCACAGCGGTGCACACTGGTGGAGGTGACGAAACCCAGGAAGGCCTTCATCTCCTGGGCTGTTACTGGACGCCAGCCTTCGTCTGAGCCGAAGCGCTCCTGGAACTTCTTGGCGTACATGTTAGTCTGGGTGACCATGTTTTGGATGCAGTTGTCCGGGACGAAGAGCTGGAAGAAGTCCAGAGCTGTGGCAGTGGCTGGCATCTTCTGAGCGGGGCCTGGATCAGGAAAGAAAGGACAAAAAAGGATTATGACAGAGGGAAACGGACAGATTGACAGATAGAGAGCCCCGTGTGGGATAACTCACAGACGCAAGTGTCACTTAATCCTACTTTTTAAAGTTTGGCAGCAGGCCTACAATTTGACTGCCTTTGCTGAATAAAAAGTTTCTCTTTTGACACTGTAAGACACGATAAAATTAGATTTTGTTGAGCCGTCACTGTCAAGGCTATGTGGGATGCATGCAAACAGTCTCTTGCTTACATAAACTCCATTGTCATCTCATAAGACGAATCAGTAAAAGACAGAACATCCATCAAGGTAGTCTTATATTGTATTAAACTGTCAGAAGAACACACTACTCTCACATACAATCGCTGTGCTTTTTCATAAATCAGCCACAGCGGTGTTTGGTGTTAATGTCAGAGGCCCAGGGCAGCGGTTAGACTGTTTACACAGTATGACAGCCACCACACTGTCGTCCTTGTCACAGCGTGGCGTTTCTACGCTTGCCGAAGGTTTCAGTGTCTTGTTGTTTTAGCGTTATGGCAGGCAATGAGTCAAGATCATGATCTGATAGTCGTGTCAGGAGAGAGCCATGAATGAAAGGCGTCAGAAGTCGTACTGTCAGTAAAGCACCAGCTGGTGAAAGATAGGGTTGTATGCACGTTGTAGCGTAACAGACCTTAAAGGGACAGTTCACCCCCAAATCAAATGTACCCATTTTTCCTCCTAACTGTAGTGCTGTTTATCAACCTTGATGTTTTTGTCTGAGCTGCAGAGTGTTGGAGATCAGCTGTAGAGACGTCTGCCTTCTCTCTAATTTAATAGAACTAGATGGCACTTGGCTTGTGGTGCTCAAAGCACCAAAAAAACAAAGAGTTTCCCACACACACTTATTTTTAGCAGTATTTGCTGCCTGCCACACATTAATTTTCTATTTTTGGAGCTGGAAAGTTAATTAGGAGCACTGTTGGAATATATATGTTCCGTTATTCGGACTACCACACTCTCAGAGTGCAGAGCGTACTCTGGGCACAACGCCAGGCACAGTGGAAGTGAAACTTTTTTTAATCCATACAAAAAATAGAATACTCTGTTAGAGTTCTTAGAGGAACTCCACTCTGAATTAGGTGTTGCCCGTCATTTGTTCAACCAATTTTACATGAAACCAGCTGCGTTCTCATCCAATCCATTGACCTGATCTGATCAACTCTGATTGATCCAACTACAAAACTGATTGACTGATCAAATCTTCACCCCGCGACTCAAACTCAACAAGCTTAATAGATGCATAAATTCTGATTCTGTGGGAAACACTGCAGCAGCAATGTCTCTCTCCAGAAATCCTGACCCGGTTACTCAAAATAATCCACAGACCTTGTTGTGAGCAGTTTCATGTTGGGTCTATTTTCTTTCTGAACTGCACCGTGCAGAAGAAAGTGTGCATCTACTCATGTATGAGAGGCTTGTACTTGTGGCAGCATGAGATGTCAACATTAATACAGTTGTCCTCCTCAGCTGAGCTGTAACATTAGCTAACTCAGGTGAGCCTACGGGTGTTTTTCATATGTATTTTTCTGAACTTTGAGCACCACATGCTGAGAGCAATCTAGTTTCTTTATATTATATATTCTTTATATATATGATATGATGAGTCATAAATGGCACTACAGGTAAGAGGGACTGATTTTGTGGTGAACTTTCCTTTTCAAGCAATAGATATACTGTTGAAATTGTTATATTAAAATAACAATTAAATGATAAATAGCACAAAATAATTATAATAAACAGCTTTGGGGGTAGAACTAACAAAAAAGGTTAAGTCACCTCAAACAGCATGACTGGATTCAAAAAGTTTTCTCCCTGTTCTATGAAGCTATTTTCCCTCTTTTATATATTGTCATTAATTAGTTTCCTGAAGGGAAAATTACATTTACCTTCCATTTAAAAGCTTTCTGTGTGTACGCTTTTAGGTGATGCATTGGAGTCACACAATCAATACACAATGCAGTGACTGGCTTGATGTGTTTGCTCTAGTAAATTAGATATTTTCTCTAAGGCTGTTGATTGCGAGAGAGAGAGTATGGACGTCGAGAAGAACAACTTCAGGCTCAATTGAACAGCACGATCTCATTATCTCTGAGCAGAGTTGAACAAGGTTTTCACTCTCTCTATTCCGACTCCAGTCCTGAGTGGCTGCACCCGCAATAATGAAGGACTTTTACTTCAAGTCTTTTAATGCTGAGTTAAAGATAACATGTACAAGGCTTAAACCTAAATGGTACACTATTTAAGTGGTATGTGGAAGAGCACAAGAAGAAAATAGACAGTAGAGTACAAGCACGCCCACAAAGCTCAGCTCGCGGCCAAGACAGCAGAAGAAGTCGGGCCGCGGCTCAAAATCCGCTCATTTGCATTCTATTAGACTTGAAAGCTGAATGTAAAATCCAGCGTGACTCCAAAAAATCGAGCCACTCCTCCATAAAAACATCAGACACTGAGATGGAAGGTCCACGGAGGCGAAATGACTCACCTCAGCTCCTCTCAGGAGTAAGCCAAAAATACAACCTGAAGAGGAGCTCATTTTTACAGATAATGGAATTGTTTCAATCTATTTCCTCCATAGATCTTCTTTATACACCCCTGCCAGCTTATCTACAGCACGGCCTACATCACGCTGATAAAACAGGATCAAACATTTACATAATTCTTCTTTCAGACTACTAATATTAGCTAATGTTTCTCTACACAGGAAGCTTTCAAATATCAATTTCCCACATTACAAAACTCCACCTACGTTGCACTCACAGACAGAAGTATAATCCCTCATGATTATCAGCTGTTGTAGTATTTCTATTGGCGAGGGACAAACATCTGCCTGGTAGAGCTTTTATAGCCACGGATTTAAGAATGGGAGATTAGCGTGTAGTTGGGGTGGATAAACCCTTCATGTAGACGAAACATGCTTTGAGCTCAGTTTTTAGCGGAAATTACAGAGAGCACTGAGACTGAGAGAGATTTCTGAGTACGCTCTCAGACAAATCCCTGCTATGGCTGGGCCATATACTAAAATTAATACCACAATATTAATAGAAATGTACATTTTTTATGTCAATATACAATGGTGTCATTAAAAATATTGATTTATCTATACATGTCAGTGGTGAAATCTTGAAATTGTTTCAATATTTATTTTCTGCAGTATCGATACACTGGTAGCAGCTGCGCTTTCTTGCTCTACATTACTGTTAAAATTTATTGAAGTCATTTTGTTGTTATCTATTACTAACCAAGACAAGAAGAGTCATCATTGTAATGTTACAGCCTTGTTAAATATATTTCTTAATAAGAAAAATTAACCTTTATGCCCTCAATGCCAATTTTACCCATGGCAAATGGTGTGAAATCAGTATTTTTCAATTCAGTTCAATTCATTCATTTTCTATAACCGCTTATCCTGTCAGGAGTCTTGGGGGGGCTGGAGCCTATCCCAGCTGACACTGGGCGACGCAGGGTTCACCCTGGACAGGTCGCAACACTATCACAGGGCTGACACATAGAGACAGACAACCATTCATGCTCACATTCACACCTATGAACAATTTAGAGTCATTAGTTAACCTGTATGTTTTTGAACTATGGGAGGAAGCCGGAGTACCCAGAGAAAACCCACACTGACATGGAGAGAACATGCAAACTCTGCACAGAAGGGCTCCCCCACCTTGGGTTCAAACCATGGGTTCTCTTGCTGTGAGGCAACAATGCTAACCACTGCACCACTTGTGCGAGAAAATGCTTCAAATTACAGTAACCAAAGTTTAACGTTCACAACCTGTAACAACCAGACAACCAGTGGGTTCCCGGGGTCGGGGTCACTCACTGGACCCAGTTTTAGAAGCAATGAGTATTAAATATCTACGACAAGAGCAACTCTAGTAGGCTGCTGCCCAAGAAAGTGCTGGAAACTGTATTGCGTGGACGTTAGAAATTCCAGTATCATGACAACACTATTAGAGTGCCAGATCACATATAAAATTATCTGTGTTCTACTGCTGTGCATTACATCAGAGAACAAAATCTTCATATGTACAACAAAGACATTAAAAATTCATTTTGTTAGTTTTTTGCTATGAATCATTTATTTTGACAGCAGAATTGTCGTATCATATAATATCAGTCCAATTTTCCTTTGTGTTGTACATACAGTACTATCATTATGTAAGAGTTTCCATATTTCATGAAATAGCTCACTAAGTTTCTCCCATAAGCCTGAAAAAGACAGCAAGATGTCTTATTTAATTGGAAATAATTCTGATTCCTCCAAGATTACACGGTATAGTACACGTATTGTCAGTAATATATGAATTTAGTTATAGAAAAAGAAAACAAGAACATCTGACTGTGAAATTTGGTTTCCTTTATCCTGTTTTTTATGAGCACCATTTCAATACAATTCCACTTTAAGTCGATAAATCACTATAGACAAAGTTACATGACCTTTCAGTTATTTTTTTCTGTGTCAAGCATAAATGTTTGTTTTCCTGCCATCCATAGTTCATTTTATTTCATTTCATTTTTTATTTTTTGTCTTTGCATATCCAGGTCCCTTGTTGGATTGAAAGACCCAGACGTGCATCTCTGCCTGTCAAACAGCTGCTACATCACAGTTGCTTTCTCTCTGTATCTAAATGCTTCAATAAGAAAATTATCAAAATTCTCTTTGTGTGTCTGTGTGACTGTGTTTTTCCATATGGCTGTGCAAACGGTAGGAGGCACTGTGCAGACAGGACAGACTGACAGCTAGATAAACTCACATATGCAGAGTCCCTGTAATCTATCGGACATGCTCAGCAAAGTGAATGAATAAATAGCTCTTTAATTCCCTTCAACATCACGATAAGGTGGTTATATAATCTGAGATGTGGATCTATGCTTCGTAATCCTCAGCTTGGTCCTTTGCCACAACCTCTCACACACACAGTGGCAACAGTCTCTCACTGACATGAGCATAACACATCACCTATAAGCCTGATCTTGTGTTAACCGCAACTCTGCGTGGTTTCAAAGTTCTGCTACAGGTTCAAAGAAAGTGCAGGAGTTGCCACTGCGGCTGTTAACAAAGCCAAAACCCAAGCCACTTGAAGTCTTTGAGAGTCTGCATGAGGTTGACTTGATGCTTTCTGACGGTGGCTGATGATTTATGTACGGGGTGCATAGTCTCCAAGGACTGGAGCTGTCACATCAGCACTGTGTCTGTGTCAGCACCGTCACAGCCGAGACAGGAAGACAGACAGGGAGGCAGGTGAGAAAAAAAGCCAGACAGGTGTGCAGATAGAGAAATACTGACATATGATAAAATTATCACTCATGATATTTCCTTTGCGTCTGCCAGGGGCCGACTTAGTGGCTTAAGCAGCCTCCCATCCCATCACAACTGATGGAAAAACATATTTATGTAGATACGCCGAGGCTCGGGATGCAGTCAATCTTTACTTCTTCGGGCCGATAAAATCAAAGCACGCGCTTGGCCACTTGAGGTCTGAAGTGTGATTATGCTCCCTGGCAGTCCTGCCATCCATCCAGTCTGGCAGCTCTTAATCATGATGCAGGATGGAGGGACCACACCCACACTGGCTGTGTAAACAGACACTAACTGTATCTTTACAAACCAGACCAGGCTGTACGAAGCAGACAGACACACCTGCTGCCTCCAGAGCTTAGGTCAACAGAGCAGTAAAACGTCAAACAGAGCAGGACAGGGCAGAACATCCTGTAACCTCACCAAAGAACCTCTCATGATAGTTTGGTTCAGATTATTTTGGATAAGTGAAAAAGGCACCACTCCTCTCATATCTCATGAAACAGGATTACTGAAGTTAGCTGGATAACCGGGCTCGCTGAAAAGCCTTCAAATCTGGAACATGTACATAAGTAAACAGAGCTGTTCCGGGTTGTGTTTGGCGTCCTGCTCGGTAATCCTGCTTTCTGGGACAGGTCAAAGCCACCACCTTCAATTTGGGTGCCATACCAATAGCAGACACAACAGCGAAAGACTTTTATCCCATCATCATCATATTGGGCTTTTTATTTTGGATTTTGACGTACTCTGCTGGCATTAAAAGCTTTTTGCATGCAGTTTAATTTCCAGTGGTTTCCTGCCACTTTACCTCCATCCAGTCTGGTGCTTGTGCTTTAAACAATTTGCATATGAATGCTCCAACGTGTGTTTCCATGTTATGTGCGAGCAGCTTGGTCCATATCTGCTACAGCCATATGCTGCTGGTGCACCTCCAAGGGTGCCACAGTGCAGCATGTCACAGTGGATACAGGATGGCATTTCCACCCATCGCTGTGGCTTCAGCCGAGGCAGGAGAGATGGGGAGAGGAGGGCAAATCCAAACGAAGCCTGACAGAAAGCACTGCACTATAAACCCAAACCCCTGCTCCCCTGATGCATCACGCTGTACTTAGTGATAGATAAATGGATAAAAACTGTTCTTAGGAGGCAGACTGATGGCATTGTACATGATGGGTTTTAAACAGAATGAGATCAGGCTTTTGGGGCATTTATCACAAAGACAGAACGAGACAAAGGAAGACGGAGCAGTGTGGGTGCATAGTGCTGTCACGATTCAGAGACACAAACAGAAAGTGTGCAACCTGATCAGAGTGCCATGAGCTTGTGTCTCATGCTGATACAGTTATAAGTTGTGTTAATTAAGGAGAAAGCATGTGTGTGCATTTATTCTGCATGCTTACAGTGCAGTATATAATGTGTATGTGTGTGTGAGTGTGTAAAACCAGGGGAGACATCACACTGTTTCTCTAAATTAACCAGCATGTCTCCAATGCCCTGCCCTGCGACCTGCACACACACCCTCACACACAGGACAGCATGTGCACCACAGCACCAGAGGGTGAGGTATCAAAGGCTAAGCGTTGGCAATACAGCAATTAACGATGCAGTGTCATGCTTCTCTCTGTCACTCACTCACTGGGATGCACACATCGCAAACCATAGTGAGACAAGCATCCAGTTGTTCCAGAGCACAAGCCTTTTGTGTGCAGCTCTGGCACCAGATTGAGAGCCTCAGTAAATGGCCTGCATGACCCAAAAAAAACCATGAGCTGCACTATTGCTGTGTCTCCATCCAGTCACCACACAGAGAGAGATACACACACACACACACACACATTCACACACACACACTTGTTCCCCGTTGCACAAATGACCTTATTCATGCTGTCGTGCATCACGTCTCACCATATGTCTCTTTGAACGGCGGCACCGTGACATCCTGCAGAGTCTCCGTCCAGCCCTCCTCCTCAGCCTGACTCCGGGACAGGGAGCCCGGGGGGCCGGCTCCGCTGCCACCACCTCCTGCTCCCCCGCGGCTCTCCTTATCCCCCCTCTTTTGGTGGTGGTGCTGCTGCGGCTGCTGCTGCTGCTGCTGCTGCTGGTCCTCCTCGCCTACCTCGGCTATGTAGTTGTCGGAGTCGGAGTCTCCGGAGGTGCTGTAGAAGGGATTGTCGCTGCTGTCATCCCCGGACTCGCCGAACACGTCGTCGGATATCTGCAGGCTCTCGTACCGGGAGCGGGCCGCTTCCAGGAGAGACAGCGCCTTCCGCCCGCACTCCGCCATCTCTCTCTGTAGTGATGCTCTGCTCCCCCCTTGTCGCTTCCTTCCTCCCTCCTTCTCACCCTTTCCACTACGGCTCCAGCGGCGTGCAAGTGGTCACGATCTTGCAGGAGCAGGAGGGGGGTGTTTGGCTCTAATGTGGCCGCTGCACCTTCCTGTATCCTGGGTATGATTATGATCCTGCCCGCCCTGCAGGCTCGGATGTGGAGCCCGGCGGTCAGAAGCGTGTGGATCCGGGGAGAGCTGTCCGCTTCAAGGGTACTGAAATATTTCCGCCCCCTTGCTCTGCCTACAGCGCTGCGTACTGGGAGAAATTATCGATAGTTGTGGCACAGCATCCGGGTTGGGAGACCAGTGATTTCTCCACAAAGAGAGGAAAATAGAGAGAGTAGTGGCTGCCGCTGCATCACCTGACACCACAGCCCAGCCCTGCCGTCCAATAAGATGCAGCTTCTCATCCAAACTTAGAGAGGAGCGGCTGATGGAGCCCATGAGTGGAAAAATCATAGGCATTAAACTGTAATATAATATTAGAATAAAATGTCTGACACAGAGAGGATCATCAAAGGATAGGACTAATGAAAATAAAATACACATGAAAATTAATATAATAAAAACTTGCAATTAGGCCTATGTTTTTCAGGATGCCCACCCCTTAATTAGGTCCACAAATAATAATAATAATAATAATAATGATAATAATAATAATAATAATAATAATAATGATAATGATGGTAATAATAATAATAATAATAATAATAATGATGATGATAATAATGATAATAATAAAAGACTTCACAAACACCACCTCCAATATTGCTTTAACATTTTTACAGGTGTTTACCATATCCTCCTGAGACCTCAGCTTTTGTTTAGTATGCATTTTTAATTTCTCCTAGCTATTTGGGATGTAATGATAAAAAATAAATATATAATATAATATAATATAATATAATATAATATAATATAATATAATATGGCTGTGCAAAAACTAAATTACATATAATGCAACATATCTAAAAGCCTCGTGATTTACTCAAATAAAACACTAATAAAGTCCCAATGTCCTCAAACGAGTATATTCAACAGTGTCAACAGTGTCTTAGCCTGTTACTGTTGCTAAAGTTGGTCAAATGTGTTGCCATATCAGACTACAAACATCATTAATCATAAATAAACAAGCTGCAACCATAGACTCTGATCAGGTTTTGTACCTTGTCTTTTGTGTTGAGATCGGCTGCAGACTGACTTGGCAGAGATGGCTGCCATCTTGTTTTTATAGATTAGTGTATAGTGCTCTTACTTATGGCAGCATATTGATGCCACACCAGAAAAAAAAGATCAGTATCAGGTAATAACATGAAACGTTTCTTGTTATAATAACATGAAAACATCTTGTAAAAATGTGAAAAACATCTTGTTATAACAAAAACTTTTCATGCCATAACCTGACACTGAGCTTTTTTTCTCGGCTTAGCATCAATATGCTGCCGTACTAACTACCACTGCATGGTACACAAAAATGTCGACAAATGAGGAGAACAGGTCTAAGTTAAGCAGAATGAAGTATAAGGTGCGGGAAACCCAACATCCATAAAAGAAGACACAGGGTCTCAGGCGATTAGATTTTTACTGATTAGACCCAGAGACCTTTAGTTAGCGGACAGAGAGCAACATGCATTTTGGAGGCCCTTAACAACCTTCACCCTCCTGTCTCCCAAAAACCCAAAGCAGGTGATATAGCCTATAGTCTATTCAAGCTTTTAATAGAACAAAAACAAGCAACAACAATGACTAGAAAACATCCCCCAAAATAAAGGAGTCCCAATGATAACTAACATTTGGATGCTCAGGGTGTTGTTTCTGGGAACTGTATCTCCATGTTTGAATTGCATCAGTTCATCTGAGCCATCTGACAGCAGCGTGTAACCCTGCAGGGAACTCATCATTCTTTTAATGGAGTCACATAAAAGTTTAAGTTTATTAGACTTTTGTATCTATAATGCATCTAGTTTTCTAGATTTATCTATTAACATTTCTAAAAGTATTTTTGTTTCATGGCTGTATGCTGGGAATTGCCCCAATACCCCTTTTTGCCTTTAGAGGGCGCTGTAATGTTACAGTAACCCATCCACTGGTCCTCCTGACTCTTCTTCGTTGGTGCACTTGCCATGTTTGCGGAAGCCCGGGTGTAGCAGCTCGCTGGTGGCTTCTGACTTTATCTTGTGTGTATGTTGTAGCTGTGTTTAATTCTCCAACATGAACCTACCGAAGGGACCAGACTCTTTGTGCTTCGATAAGGATGTTTTTATGAAGGTAACAATTCCTTTGATCACGCGCTAACGATAGCTAATGCCGTTAAACTCAAGCTAGCATTAGCTGGTTGACAGTAGCTGTTCATACAGGAGGATCCTGTTTCTTAAACCTTGCTTGTTTGTTATTGAATGTAGATCTAATTACAATAAATAAGCGGTTAAACTCAAATCACAGTCAAGTTAATGTTATTAAATATTAATTATAATCGCTAGTTGTAGACAACGTTGATAAAAGGAGACTTAAATTCATCCTGTAAAGTGTATTGGTCTTTTGGTCTGTTAGTCTGATGCTAAATTTTCTCTCTGCGTTTTCTGTCAGTGATACTAGATATAACTGTGTGCATGGCTGCTGCTGTGATACAAATGTGCCTGTCTCTCTCTCCCTCTGGTCTGTCTGATGTTGCTGTCTGTCGTCTCTCTGCCTGCAGGATGACTTTGACGTTGACCAGTTTGTGGCGGAGTGCCGGAAGCAGGTGCAGCTGGAGGAGATGAGGGAGGACCTGGAGCTCTACTACAAGCTGCTGAAAACAGCCATGGTGGAGCTCATCAACAAGGACTATGCAGACTTTGTTAACCTCTCCACCAACCTGGTCAGTTGTGCATCTTAGACTTTACAACCAGCAGCTTGTAGTCCACAGAAGACAGGGAGGGCATCTAGAAGTCAGTGGTCTGTTGGGAAATATTCTCTTATAAGGTCTAAAAAGCAAAATTGACCTTTAATATAAAATATTTTGTTACATGCTCAGTGTATTGGCAAGTCATTGCTTTGATAGTATTGTAGATACATTTGAATTGGTGTGTGTGTTAGTAAGGAAAAAATAAAATGCAGAGCAGTAAGCTGCAGCAATAGTTTTTTTTTAATATCAGCATCAGCCTCAAAAGGTCAATACTGATGTGCTGGATGAACGCTGTATAGTTTGAATGTTTTTAAGTAAAGTTGAGATTAAGACTATTTCTAATCTCTGCTTTCTAATCTCAGGTGGGCATGGACAAAGCTCTCAATCAGCTTTCTGTGCCGTTGGGACAGTTGCGAGAGGAGGTTATGGTATGTAATCTGAGTAAACATACTGTGAGCTTTGATTAATTCCTGCCACAGAGTATTCATGCATGTTTCTGGCTGTTATCTGTTGCAGAGTCTGCGCTCCTGTGTGAGTGAGGTGATTCAGGCTATAGACAACCAGCTCACCAAACAGGAGGATCTGCAGAAGAAAAAGGTTTGGCTCTTCATCTTCCTGTCTGTCTTCATGATTTGATCACATTTTGTATTCATCATTGAATATATTTAGTAGGGATGTCCTGATCCAGCTTTTTCCACTTCCGATCCGATACCGATATTACAGCCTTGAGTTTTGGCCGATACCGATCCGATCCAAGCATGTATTATACATATTCACTTATTTTGTTGTCAGTCATGTTAGAAAAGGTTTGATCAAGCGATATTACTCTAACAAGAAGAACTACTTAATCAGGTTAGTTAGAATGATCCACAACAGTTGGTATGAGAAACTGACCTGTTTATTGTTAACAGGGTTAAATAAACAAACTTTAAACTTGAACATTAACATTAAATAAAAATATAGCTGGTTTGCTTTGGCTGCTTTGGCCCCTTAATAAATAGAAAATAAATCAACACAAGAAATCTTTAAAATGTCTAACAATGAAATTAAAATAGCAGCAAGACTCCCCTAAAATAAAAAAAATAGATTAACACCACAAGACATTGTTGACATTTAACAAACAATGCAGCCTTTCCTTTTCAGTTATTTTAGTAGTGTCAGTGCCAGCCTGGTGCTGCTGTTTCCTGGGACAAAAAAACCACACACAATATTGTACAACTGTTTAAACAAGCAATAGTCCATCCATGGCTCCAGTTTCACTAATTGTGCCCAAAACAATGCCATCAGTGCTCTTTACTTAAACAGTAAGAGTGTAAACCAAATAAAAATATCACTCTCAAAAAACCAGAGCAGAAAACAAATAGTCAGTTAACTAAATTGACCGCTACTCTTCCTACCCTTCCCTCCATGTGTGTCTGCCATCTGCATGCTGGCCTGGTGGATTGATAGTAAGAGCTGGAACGGATCACTGGAATGGACTGCTTGAATTGCTGAGCGCTGGGCTGGTCGGAAAACCTGGATCGGATTCCGTGAAAAACTGGATCGGAGTTCTTGGATTGGCATTTTTCCATGCAGTCCGATCTGATGCCGATGCACGTTTTTTGCTAATATTGGCGGCCGATACCGATCCGAATATCGGATCGGGACATCTCTAATATTTAGTGATCACCTTTACATGCTCTTTGGTAGTCTAGTATGGTCAAACTGTGAGCTATATTTGGTGCCCGTTTTTGAATTTTTGTATAGTAATAGTAGTTTTTCAACTTTTAATTCAGAGGACAATGTGTAATGGTAGATGGTTATCTACTCTGTGGGACAATCGCAATTAAATATCATCTTCCTTTTATCATCCCATCCATCAGGTGTGTGTACTGAGGCTGATTCAGGTAGTGCGCTCAGTGGAGAAGATAGAGAAGATCCTCCACTCACAAAACTCCAAGGAATCTAGCTCTCTGGAAACCAGCAGGTGGGAAACTGACATGTCAACAAACCCACTGGTGTTACTTAGTAGATAACTTGTAGTTGAATATGGACAGGCTTTTTACCAAGTAATGGCAGTGTCAGTATTTGAAAAAACATTTGAGCACACCAGAGGTTTGAATTATTTGAGCTTTATCACTACAGGGATGTAACGCTAAGCTTTTGTGTCTGACCTCATGTCTGTCTGTCTTTGTGCAGTCCCTTGTTAGCAGGTCAGATCCTGGAGAGGATTGCTACAGAATTCAACCAGCTGCAGTTCCACGCTGTGCAGAGCAAAGGCATGCCCCTGCTGGACAAAGTCAGACCTGTAAGTATTAAAGGGCCGATCAGTCTGACAGCAGATGAATAATAGCCATTCAGTTAATCAGTGAGTTTGTCTGTCTGGCTCAATCCATCAGTCCTGTATTTAATTTACAAAGATAATCAGATTCTGTTCAGTCTTTTTCAAAATATTTGATCCAAGTTTTCACATTGATTAATGATTCACTTGTCTGTGT